AACTGAAGGATAGTTGGAGGCTTTCTCTGCGGTCCTGCATACTATCTGCAGTTGCTCCGAAGAGAACTTGCTCCAGATCGGACTAAGCATCCAAGCCTCACCGAGAAGCCAAGGGATTAGCAGATCGTGTTCAGAATGATGCAGGATACTTGGGGACATTTGCATGATTGCCCACGCTCGTGCTATGTGAGGCCGAGGCCAAACATGCCAGATGGTACAACAAAAATAGTTCGAACGCTCTTTTGGAGCAATCGTCTTCAAGCACGAGACTCAAATGAGCGGAGCCCCGTGTGATCATGGAAACTCTAGTAAGGGAAGTCACCGGGCATCAAGATGCCGCAGCGAAAAAGGTTCTGACTGGAACATGAAATACGACCACTTCAACTTCCGATTCTCAAAGACCTGCACTCTGCCATGCGCGCAGTGATGCTTCATCATGAAAGATATGCGACGAACCGTTCTACTACACTGCAAGTATCATAGTGGAGTTGTCGCACTTCTTCGACCCTGGTCCCACCGCGATCCGCCGCGTTGAGCAAAAGTCCGGCATGCACTATCAATCTGACGCAGCGAGGTTCTACAACTCTGTTCGATGAGCCACGGGGCGTCAATCGTTTGATAAACACTGGAGTGCAACAAATGTGGCGAGTGTAAACTCGTAAAATCGCACGGTGTCTCAAAAACAACGCCAAAGGAGTTCTTCTCCAACAATCGGGCCTACTTAATTATGGGGATTGTTGCTCCGGTCCAGCGTTAACCCTAAGGCAGAATGTTAAATGAAACATGTCTTGATCTCAGACCCCGACGTCGAGAAGGTAGAGTCGCTTTGCTGCTCAGCCGTTAAGGCCAAGGCTGCTTGCGGAAATCTGACTGTGACAATGGTGGTCATTGCATCGTCTGTGTTCCAGAACAGAAAGCAAAGGGAGACGAGCAATTGGGGTAAGGAAACCTTATTATCTGCAATAGATCACTATTATGGTAACGTAAAATTAAATCCCTGAACAGGAACCTAGGCAGATGCTCGTCAGGGCGAAGCCGGGTTCTGCAGTTCCGGCCCGGGCTGGTCCGGTCGGGTTCAGGAAACGGGCACCGTGGAATTGCCTCAAGAGGCCGTGCTTACGAAGATGAACACAGTTTGTTCGCTTCAATACATCCACCGCGCTCTGCATCCAAACGAGGAAGCACTAGAAGTCCAGGACCCGACAGCAATTTTTGCTGGAACAAAGTCATGCTCCCAATCGTCAGAGGCCTTATGCGACTCGCCAAGCCGCGATCACGTTTTGATTTGGGGGGGTTGCTTCTGGTTTTGAGGCACACATTTTGAAACGGTCTTCGGACCGAAGTGTGCGCCAACCGCTAGCAGGGAGATTGATTCTGTTGTTCTGGCGTCTATTTGGGTTTGTCATGCGCTTAGCTTGTGGACCGGGTACGAGGAGCCCAGAGCGAATACGGGAAACTGCGAGAATGACTTTCATTTGGTGATTTTTAAAAAGGCGAACCCTTGTCGGGGTGCTGGTGTGCGCTTCTTCGGAGAGCTCTTTGTCCTTTGCGGCTCTCTGTGGCAGGCAGCCCCAAGCAACGGTCTGCCTGTCCACCACGGTCCATCCTGGGAGACTGGCCCCCCTTTGGCGGAGACGGAGTCTCGCATGCAACCTGAGACCCTCCTCATCCCTTCCCCTGGTGCTAGGTTTCGTGAAGAGCAGGTTTCGTGAAGAGCTCCCTGCTCTCTGAGGTCTACCGCAAAAAGATCTGAGGGCAAGGTAGCTTCCAGTTTTCTCACCGTCGATCGGTGCGTGAGGACAGTTCTGTCATGTTCTGCCTGAGGCCAAGCTCACTCAAAACACAACTTGATTTGACAGCCTAACTCGGCAGCTACTTGTAAGTGAATGTAACTGTATTGGCAAAGATCTAAAGCGAAGGGTCCTGGACTCTTGCTTAACATTCTCCATATGTCTTTGCAGGAGTCTCACATGTCGTTTGCAAAGAGCTTTGCTTCAACTACAGCCGTCGTCGCATTAGTCGCTGCTTGAGACTTCAACCCTCAAGCAGCCTGTTTTTCTCACGCGATCGCTGTTGCATGCTCTTTATTGCTTACAGACGGCCTCGTTCCTCAGGCTTTGCATCTCTCCTGTACAGACCAAAGAAGCTGTCCAAAAAGTGCAGCACTGCGGCGAGCAAGTTCAGCTTTCTTCATGATTCTGCTTGATGGAGGTGGTTGTTACTTGTCTCTAGTTTTGACGAGTGACTAGTTGTGCTTGCATGTTGTCTCATGGGGCCCTTCCTAAGTCTAATCTAAGTCGTTGAGCCAGGATTGAAGATGGCTAGGAAGAATTACAGGCATCTCATCCTTTGCTGCTTCCTGATGTTCCAAGGTGTCACTGCCGGAAGCGTTCGAACCGCCGCCACGAACACCAGGCCACGTTCCAGCAAGTCGAGTGCGAGCAAGTGAAGTGACCCAAGACGTGAGGTGATCGCTTAGTCCTTACGGCATCGAGCCCGGAGCACTCCCACTGTGGCCGCGCAGCATAAGCTTGCCGCCAAGGACAATGTTCACTCACCAGAGCACATCCTGTCCAAACAGGCCGCTATGCTAGACGGTACAGAAGTGTTTTTTAGGAGCTAGACACGAATCCGAAGCTGCCTGCTCACACGGCACTGCCCTGCTTTTGCCCTCGAGCAGTCATCCGGCTCAGCCCTGGAAGCTTAGCTTGCTGCCATGGAAGCTGCGTGCATGCAGCAAAGCTCACAGCAGAGCTCACAGTACTCTCAGCAAGAAGGCGGTGATGTGGACAGCGAGCTTTCACCAGCTTTGCCCGAATCGTTCCAGGAGGTGACGCATGGGCGACTGGGATTCCGCCAGGTGGCTTGCTTGATTGGCCTTCTAGGGGCTGCACTCCTAGCTCTGGCCACAGTTCCTCTGAACCCGAGTGTTGGAGAAGTTGCGTCTTCCAACGATGTGTCGATGGAGGAGATGAGCTGGAACCCCCGAAACCTTGCAACGATTTCCTGTTCCGCAGTGACATGCGACATCTATTCCACTCCGCTTGACCCGAATATCGAGTGTGAGGGACCCGCAACTTCTGCAGACTGCCTCGACAAGTGCTGCGGCAGCATCGCATGCGATGCCATTCCAGGCTTCAGCTGCATGGCGACTCTAGGCCCCACATTTCTCACAAGACAGATCTCGTATTTCAGGTCGGGACAAACAAGCAAGACATGCAAAGGCCAAGCTCAGTGTGAGGACACCTGTTGTCAGGGTCGGTGCGCCGACACATCCTGTCCAGCAGCCACAACGTGCAAGAGGCCCTTTCCACCAGAGCGTTGCACCCCATCCACGTGTCAGGAACAGTGCTGCTACGAAAAGGCCTCTGACGACTACTGCGGCAACGGTCTCACCGCATGGACCATGGCATGTAAGTCGTGTCAAACCCTAACCGAGTACTGCGAGGTCAAGCTAGGCCTGGACTTTGAGACCACGCCTACCGAAGTGTGGAACCACCGGGCATTCGAGAGGGTGATGAATAATCTCGTGGAGCCAGGTTGTGAGGTGAAGGAAACTCCACGGTGCGAAGACTTGCTGAAGTTCGGCATCAAGTCTGTCTTCCCTTGGCACAACAGTGGAGAGGCTGTTTCCGTGAATGGCATTGATGTCATTGCTGGTGGCACCCGGGCGGTCAGTGGGGGAGATGACAAGTTGGTCTTCATCTGGAGGATAGCAGATGGAAAGATGCTCCGGAACTATTCCGCCCACTACTCGGCAGTCCAAACGATCAGCACCTTCAACGATGCCACTTTCTTCTGTGCCGCCAGCGAGACCGAGGCCATTGTCTGGCGCTCTTCTGGCCCCGAGGACTCGGGTGTGCTCTCCATGGAGTACACCACCGGGGACGACACGGTCCCGACCACCTCCTGCGTGGGCATCAACACATGGGAGACGGCCATTGTGGGTCAGGCTGACAGCTTTACAGTGATTTGGCACTGGAAGGCGAGCAAAACCCTTTCAGTGCCCACCAACCCGAAAGATCAGTGGAAGTGGCAGATTGACAAAGATGCCGGCTTTGTCCGCTGGCCAGATCAGTTCAAAGGCCACGACAGCGAGTGGCAAGTGGCGTTCACGGAGTGGAGGAAGAGCCTCTTTGGATTGAACTCGCGCCGCCTGAGCAACACATCTGAGGATGTGAAGGGGCGCAGACTTCGCCCGGCCGACAGGACTGCCCCGTGGACGAATTGGTTCACCAACACGCGTTGGGGCGACGTCCCTGTCTACTACTACCAGCCGGACAATTGGGGGCCTGTGACCAGCATTGCAGCGATTCCGTTTGACACCCTGTACGCTGTAGGGTATGGGCACGGAAGCATTCGTGTCTGGATTACTTACAACGGCTTCCTGAAGAGTTTGATCCCACAAGCCCACGATGGAGCAGTGAATGCCCTGGTGTCAGCGCCCGCCGGAAACACTTTGTACTCTGGTGGGGAAGATGGCATGATCCGAATGTGGGATGTCTTCAATGGCAAACACCTGGGAGACCTGTACGCGGTTTTTGCCGGGCCCGTGCGGTCCTTGGCTGTGATCCCAGGTGGTAACAACATTTATTCAGGTCATGCAGGGGGACTTCTACTCTTGTGGATCCCTGGCCTGAAAAAGTTGTGGTGCCACTTGGACACGAAGGCTGGCTCGGTGAATGCGCTTCAAGTGAATCCGGGCGTGGTTGGCCAGGTCCTTGTGGCCCTAGAGGCAGGCGAAGCTCGTGTGTACGAAATGAGATGAGGGCCAAGGAGATCTCGATATGTTTCACCAAAACGCTGCTGAACAGCGAAGTGTAGTGGTGAACTGGATGCGAACTTTATAGTGCCAGAAGAGTGAGAAACAAGGAAGGTTCACGCGAGAGTCGTCAATGGATGCGTGCCCGCCTGCAGTTGTCGTGATCCTCGACAGTCAAACGGCTCCGCAGCAGCTGAAGCTCCGAAGACACCTTTCCGGGTGTTAGTTTGCGCTGCAGATGCTACGGCGCCCCGATGCTTTGCAGTTTCTCTGTTTTTCGCTTGGGCTGTCGGTAGAGGCGCGCGAGAAACCTCTGTGGCAGAACGGGCATTACCCCTATGAGGACAGCGAGTGCTTGTTGACCGCTGCAAACAGGGATGGGGTTGGCCGGCTGGCAAACCTGTGGTTCTAACACGGTGTCCGTGGTGAACTGTAAAGTCATGGCTGCTTGTACTAGCATGTATGGGTTACTCTGCACGTCCTGCGAGTACATGCAGGACCTGATCTCAGAAACAGTGGCATACTGCTACACTTCGATCGTTCAGAATTCCAGCTGTTGTCTCGACAGCCTTTATGCTCCCGGTGTTCGGAAGACGGTCGTGCGGCGCGTTGGAGTTGGCTGGTGGTGCGGCAAGTCCTGCTACGACGACAAGAAGGGCTATCGTGGAGTTTTCCGTCTGCATTTCAACTCATGCCACTTTCTATGCTGGGTCAGCTTCTTGAGCCATAGCCGAGGATGACTTGGTTTGGGTCCCCGAAGGCGCTACTTGTGAATCCCCGCGGCTGCTCTGGATTCATGGGGGTAGCTGGGAGTATGGGAGCCCTGATACCTATTCCTATGGCCAGCTGGCCTCCAAGCTGGCTGGGCTTTCTGGCGCCGTCGTGATGGTACCCGACTTTCCCCTTGCGCCTGCCGGGACCTATCAGGTCGTGCTCGGCGCTTGCCTTGATGCTCTGCGTTGGCTGGCGGAAGCCCCGTTGGGAGACCTGCACTGCCCGCCGGGAGTGGCGCCACTTCTGGTCGGGGGTGACTCAGCGGGCGGTGGGACGGCACTGTCCCTGAGCCTAGCCTCGAAACTGGCAGGAAACAGCGAGGCGCGAGCCTGTTTGTAAGAAGTGATAGGATCGAGATTGTCCGGAGTTTCCCGCTTGAAAAGCCCAAGGACTCTGAAGTTGAAGGAGAGCGGCGGCTGGAGCCCGAAGGGCATCCGGGAGTCTCGACCGGAGGAGCTTCCTGGAGGTCAGATCTTGGCAGGCGCTGTGTTCTTCAGTCCGTGGACGAACCTCAAGTGTGACACGCCGGATTACTATTATAATGCTTTCGCCAAGATTGTGGACAAGAAGGCCTTCAAAGACCCTGACTCCGGGGTGGCATATGTGGGCGATCTGATGTTTCGAGGTCATCCGCAGGAAAACTTGGATGAGTTCACGGTGAATGCCAAGAGCTTCCAAGATCATTTATGGATTGCCCTGCTTGCCCAAGCAGTGCGTTTGACATCATTAGAGCATGGGTATGCTTCGATGTAAGGCCCACAGGTCAGACATGCGCACACACGCTCGCTTGCACTTCCGAGCACTGGCAAGCTCCCCCGTGTCTCGGTGTGTGTGTGTGCACATGTTGTACACCACCGTACATCCACGTGTGATCCACGCATTCATCGCTGAGTACAGGCTGTGCGCTTCACGGGTGTTCACGGGGATTCTAGTGTGTCGCCAACATGCACTCCCACTGTCCAAGTGCGACAGCGATGAAGCCAAAGGAGCTCAAAATAAGGCGTGTGCTGGATTTTTAGTTTCGCTTTTGAAGAGGCGAAGGTGTAGTCATACTCCTACGGACAGCAGGAGATCGGGTTAGTTGAATACGTTCTAGACCGGGAAACCGTGTCGAAGCACAAGGTGCTAATAACTTCGGTTGAGACGGGCGCATCTCGAAACGCGTATTCGTCGATGAACTGCAGCCTCGAGTGAGGATCCCCCTATCGCGCACAAAAGGCGACATGAAATCTCCTGTCCATGATGTTGCTCTGGGTGTTGGGTGCCCCTCCCCCTTAAATATCTTCCGACGCCCTGAAACCCCCCCCGCCTCCCGGCTGGCTAGAGCTTGGGGTGGGTCCAGCGCGGTACCTAGAACTGTTTCAGAATTTGAGCCGATTGACCTTCGAGAGCCCTACAGCTCTGCGACAAATCTACGCAGAAAAGGCATATTCAACAAATCAATGCTCCACCTCGGCTGAAAGTACAGGAAACAACTAACCTCGCTTTAAGATCAGAACACACACACGCACACACAAACCTAGGATGAGTCAAGGCAACATGGTAAGGAGAAGCTCGTGTTTTGAATCAGTGCCACGCAGTTCACATTCCACCTGAACTGATTTGCACCCATGTCGGTTTGTTGTGCACCGCTGACATGTAGGCATGTTTGCTAGGGGCTCTGAACATTCACGTTGGTTGTTGCTCGCAAGGTGCTAGTGGTAGATGGGGCTCGGACTTGAGGCTATGTGGGCGGTGATGACAGCTTGCTGACAGATCCCCTGGCCTCCCCTTTCTTTGCATCAGTGGATGAGCTTGGAGGTGGATATCTCCTTGATTTCCCGACTTGTAGCCCTGGCATCTGAGCTCCTTCCCTGAGGTGGAGGCATTCCGCCGCTTCTGTTTGCAGTTGGCGGCTCTGAGTCCATCCTTGGTGACAGCATGATCCTAGCCCAGAAGGCGGCCTTCTACGGGACCAGCACCCGGACAGCAATCTGTCACATCCCGAATCTCTGTCTGTGTCTGGTGAAGCTCCACTGAATCCGAGGCGTTCATGTGGATGTCCACGTCGGTATGTGGCACGACTTTCCTATGTACTCTGAAGGTTGTGGCAGTGGGGTGCCCTTGTGGCAGGCACCTGTGTTGCAATGGCTGAGTTGAGTTTTGGGCAGTTTGGTGCCATAAGCCATAAGATGTGTGTCTGCTTTGCAGGCAGCTCGCGCGCTCAATCGAGTCTTAGCTTGACTCTGCTACTTCTTATGCATCCCGAAATCAATGCAACCGGGTCTACCTGATACAGTACCAGGAACGGCAGCATTCATCAAGTATGTTGCTGCCGCGAAGCAGACTGCGACACGACTGGGCTTGATCTGGCCACCTACGAAGTCCATTCCTGGCACGCCGCACACCAGGCAGGGCTACGTTCAAACTCATGCATCTAATACTTGAGTTGATGATATTTACACATTGGCTTCATTCATAGGTCATAGAACCCGTGCAGCAGCTCCCGGTGTGCGCGTTGCAGGTATATCTATGACACTACGAGGCCTGGAGCCGCCAGGCCGGGGTGCTGTCTTGAAGCGACACAAGCCGACCGGCATGAGCTCCGCGAAGCCTGAGTTCATGCTCGTGCCTGCCTGTCCCCTTACTTGTTTCTGGAATGTCCTCTCCCGACGAACAGAGCTTTCTTCTAATCACAAGTGTTTGTGCACTGCGATGACCTTGACTTGCTCACACTCCGGTGTCACCGGTGCGTTTTCCCGGGATGCTCGCAGGCAAGGCCTTCTGTAAGAGTTGTCAAGTTGTGTTTTGTTCACGACGAGTGCCCAGGTGGTTTCCAAAGGAGCTGGTGGATGAAGCAACAGCCCCGCTATCTTTCGCCGATGGGTTCCCCGAGATGGGGCTCCTTGGATCCACTTGGCTGCAAGTTCCATCGATCAGCGAGTCATATTACGTCTAAGGCCGTCTGGCAAGGCACTACTCGTAGCACCTGATCGTGGGGCATATGCCCTGCTTGCCTCCGTCGGGCTTTTTGGAACTCTGATTTCGCTCTTGGTCTACGGCATTTGCGCCAGATTTACAAGTTCGAAAAGAGAGTCTCATTCCTTCCTGTCGGCTCCTTTAGTCGAGCCTTGACTTCGGGCGCTTCGCCTGCTTTTCCTTCGGCTGCGTTGCTCCAAATCGAGCGTTGACAGCCTGATGGGCATGAGGTGTACAGTGTGTCGCAGCGTGAGAGAATCGCGCAAGGGGATGCCGTGGGAGGAATCCAGCACCCGAGAATCCTGGAGAAGTCTGTCCGCCAAAGCCTAGCGGATGCGATGTCGGGGGGAAAAAGCCGCCTCCGACTGCTTCAGAGATGAGCTTTTCATCATTCAACACGTCTACTGGCTGCTTTACGATGAGAGAGTTCTAGAAGAGTCAGAGCCCTTGGCAGGGGTCAGGCCCACCCGAAGGGGAGCTGGACTCCATGATCAGTGCCTTGGCAAGAGTTGGTGTTTATGTTGCTAGTGCACGTACAGGTTTGTTCAGCGCCTGCAGCCAAGGAAGAGCATTTTTGTGGTGCGGCCGCCTTTTTTCTTGCCGGGCGAAGCTTGTGCGCCGCACCTGCTCTGAATGGCCAGGTTCATGACAGATCTTCTTGTGGATCACAGCCGCTTCACCAACGGAAAATTCGAGGGTGGTGCGGATCCAAGCCCGAAAATCGAGGTTCTCTTAATACCGACCGTCGTCTCAGAATCTTCTGAATTCTTTCCCCTGTCTCACTTCCCATAGCATCTTGGGACATCAGGATTTGATCAAGCTGGATTTTTAGCAAAGTGCGGCGACCTTGGGCTTAGGCAAAGTGCCTCGTGTGTATCCGCGAGCCTCTTGTGCCACAGGCTCTGAAACAGAGCGCCCCTTTCTGAAAGAACTGACCTCGACCCAGATGTGGGCCAGTTGGATAAGCACAGAGCTCGGGTTCCGCGCAGAGCGCAGAAGGTGCCGAGATGGCGTTCCTGCTCTGCAGGCCGTCGGTTGTTATCGGGCGAGGATTCGAAGGATATTGTTCTGTTCGACGAAGTCATCGTCGGCGGCTTAAACAATGGAATCAGTTGCAGAGACCTGCCTCACCTCGCGCGAGGCACAAAAACTGAACCGGAAAACGTTCATGTTCAGCAAGACAGTCGCTTTCTTAGTTCCAATCCCTGGGTGAAGCTCGGCTTGCTTGTGGCTCTTGCTGTCCATTTCTTTCTTCGTGAGGCAACGCCTTTCCTGAGCTTGGACTTCTCCGAAAAAGGATCGCCAGCTGGGGCAGTCTCTCGCCAATGTGTTCCGCTGGTTTCAACGAAGGCCACTACCGTGAAGTTCGTGTTCCGGACCCTCCAAGAGGAAGTGTCTGCATCTAAGACGAACCATGCCGAAATGTAAGCCAGCATCAATGAGCTGAGGTGGCAGAGCCCGAAGACGATCGAACGAGCCGAGGCGGATGCGATGTGTTCACAGCTTCCAAGATGTCTTCAAGTTTCAAGGCCACAGATGAAGATACTAGTAGAACAGTCGAGAATGCAGCAACTGCAGACCATATCCGCCTGAGTTACAAGCACAAGACTGGAATAGCATTCCAGCACTACCTATCAGTAAGGGCAGTTGCAGAAGATGATGCGAGTAGAGACAGTGGAGCAATGTATCGCAGAGCTGAGCACAGGCGCCGTCTGGCAGTTGGATGAGCCAGTATCTCAGGCATGAAGTCTTGCGGCAGTTTCCGACATAAAGATGTCAGTCTTGTGTGACGAAGCAGAAGACAACACAACATGTGCCAGATAATGCCTATGCCTATGCAAGGCATGTATGCATGTAGGGTGCATGGGTGTCAATGGACGTATGGATGAATGGATGCATGCAGGTACACACACACACACTGACAACGTAGACGGGCAGATAGGGAGGTAGCTAGGGAGGTGCCTCCCTAGGCAGAAAATTAGGTAGATAGGTAGGTTAACAGGTAGGTAGATGGGTAGGCAGGTAGGTGGATAGATGTGTGGTTTCTTTGTTCATTTGGCACGAATTGCATTTACCTGTAAATTTCGGACCTCATGTTTGTAAGGAACCGGCTCTACAAGCCTCGGCCAATGGAGGAGCCGTGAGATCTTTTGTCGTGTACCGTTTTTGTCGGGCTTCGGGCTTAGGGTGTGCTTGCGCTCATCTGTTGTTGCAGGCCATGCTGCCGCCTCAGAGAGCGACACCGCAGAAAGTGATATGTTTTGGTTACCGGCGGGGTGATGTGTAGCAGCCTTAAACGAGCATGGGGGTCCCAGCGTGACTCGGGCCCAGGCCTGTTCCAACTGTTTCAGCAGAAAGGCACGGGCCTTACTTCAGGCTTTGCGGCATGTGCAAGGACCACCTGGAGCATTCCACGCAGGCCTGGTGTCGTTCCCTCCCGCGATCCGCTGCCTTCCGCTGCTTGCACGAATTTTGGAACCAGAATCTTTGAAGGCAGTCAGGATGCATCGAGCTGAGGCACCCCTCGTGTGGTACGTGCAGCATTGCTGGCTGTTGTCTTGGGCAGCTTACCTGCCGGATCGCGGGTGGCCTAAGACAGCTGCCCCTGCGTCGGCCTCTGCGTCGGCCCGTTTTGGCACCTCTTCAGGTCCGGAACAACAGCGCCTTCAGTGGGCCAAGATGGATTTGTGCTGGGTCCTTACTGCATGTCAACGGCTGCTTCGGCTCGCGATACCTTGGTTTGTCACAGCATGTCAGTTTTTGCAGAGGTTTGAGCGTCTTGCACAAGATGACTCCTGGGGATCCACGAGATCAGCGATGGGCTCGTCATTTCCAAGCCAGAGCGCAGGCTCTAGGCGACCTGGAGCTGCGAGTCAGGTCATCGCCACCGCCCCACGACCTCGCTCTCAGCATGCTGGAACTCGGCTCAGACTCACTTGGCAACATCAGCCCTGAGTTCCCGCACGTTGAAGGCTGCAGCATGTGCTCGATGTGGAGCATTGAGGGTGGTGGGGTACCCAGGACCTGACCAGCAAGCGTTAGATACATTTCTGTCAGCTCGAGGATCTGGCCGAGCGGCTCTTCACTTGGATGAAGGTAAGACGACTGGTCGCACCTGGCTCAATGTGTCTCTATGTGTGCGTGCCATAAGCTGATAGACAATGTGGCGCCATGTGGCACCATCTAGGTGTGAGTTGTGAGTGTTCCACAACGCATGTATCGGCTCAGCGAGGGATTATGAGAAGCTGTTCACGCCGGTGAGTTCGGGGGTGATGCTGTGGCATGCATGAATTTCGTGAAGGCCGGTGCAGCTCCTCAGGCGGTGCTGAGCAACCCGGGCTTTCAGAACAAACGCGTGGTAGACACGAGACCTGGACTTTTCCCTCCTCGAGGTCGAGGCAAGACCCCAAGTTGCTTCGTGCCGCTTTCGCTGGCTGCGGGCTTGGTGCCGTTTGGGCACAAACATGGGCACCGCCGCAGCCACCGGCAGCACCACGGGCGTTACAGACGGCCTCTCACGGCAGTACCCTCCCAGTCCTTCGAGGAATTCGGCGTGGAGGAGGCGTCGGCTTCGGAAGTGGCCGAGTGGGAATCTGAAAAGGCCATCGAAGCCGCCGAGGAAGCCGAGGAGCGGGCGACCGACCCGGAGGCGAGAAAGGGAGCGTTAAGAAGCCCCATGAAGCCCCCCCCTTACTGTAAGAAAGGAGGGATGAGTACTGTAGTCACTTGCTTCGTGCCCCATGCTACGAGGGTCCATCAGAGTTCAATCTGGGTGCAGGGCCCTGGTGAATTGGACTTGGCGCGGTTACGCATCTGGGCCAGATCGAACAAGTTGTGCAAGGTTCATCCTGCCATCGTGGTCCAGAATTCGAGCCTTGTCGTCTCAGCGAAGATCGAGAAGGCTCGAATCACCTCACAGAGTAGAGTCGTTCCAGGGTCTGCAGCTGGCAAAGACCTGTCACCATATAGACTTCAGGACAGCCCGCTGGTGGGGCTGATGCCCGAAGCACTTCTGTTTGCGGGGGAAGCCAGTGAGAATGCGGACAAAGTCGATGCTGCACTGGCGCTCGCCTGGCGCATGCTGATGGAGAGAGGGCTGGTGAAGCGAACGAAATTGGAGGCCAGTGAACCCGAGTTTGCCTATAGGGCACGATGCCAAGTTGGAAAGGGACAAGTAGTTCAAACGGAGCACTTGCCGGCATGTACATATGCTTGGGGATGCATGCCAGGCAGGACCTTGGCCCGTGCAGTATTTGATGGCTCTGCCCCGGCAACCTGCTCAACCGGTTCTATGGCTCCAAAATCTTGTGGCCTGGTTTTTGCTTCAGCCCACTTGCTCTGTGCCCAACTGTAGTTCATTCAGTAACTAAGCAGGCTGAGACCCAGGCAGTGCATTCGTTCCAAGTTGTAGGCAGCTGCAAGCAAAGATGAACACTGTAAAACAAGGTGGCTGAGCTCCAGGATGCGGAGATGCAAAAGGAAGTTGAGGCGCTTTCCGCCTGTGCACACTCATGGCTCAGTCGCCGATGCGAGAGAGATGGCATCGACCCCAAGAAGCTTCGCAAGCAGTTCTTTCAGTGCTTTGCTGCAGCCCTTGGTCGTGCTACTCTTGTGGATGGCAAGTGGGTCCTTGTGCCGCTAGTTGACTCCCTGGATGTGCCTGGAATTTCTACGAATGCGAATCGGCCAGTGCAAGCAAACTGTCGCCTGGAATTGGAAGATATCGGGGAAGGTCGCCAGCTGCTGATGCTGGTTACCACCCGCACTATCGAGGAAGGGGAGTTGTTGGTACGTGAGGTGTCTGCAAAGGCGTCCCAAATGCTTCTGGAGTACGGAACAGTTATCGAGGATCTCGGCACGGAGACGGAAATCTCTGTCAAGGCTTACCTGACCGAGTCTGCTGGACCTCGAGTAACAGCAGTTCAGAGAACAGTGAAAGATGCGATGCCAGGACGCTTGTTTGGCGATGTCATCGTCAAAGGGCTGGTGAGGCCTTTTGCTCGCTTTGAGGGTGAAGGGGGTACGCGCATGGATGACCTTGCTGCAGCAATTGGAACTACCTTCCTCAAGACGTCGCTGGTGCTTTCAGTGGCGAATTTGGAGGAAGTTGAGACATTAGAAGACGAACAAGTCGGCGACAGGTTTGTCGCCCTGGCTGGCGAAGAGAAACGAACCTGCCTTCAAGCTCTTCTGGGGCTGCTGCAGAGCTGCCTCGGAGAGTTTCAGACGACTGTGGCAGAGGATGAGAGGCTGCAGACCTCCGTGAAGGGTTGCCGGCTCTTAGCCGTGGCATTTCGCCGACAGCGCAAGCAAGCGCTGAGGCTGGGCCCTGGGCCACCGAGGTTCTGACAAGCCGCCGAACTGTTTGTAGGGATGCCAGGATACATGCGACGCATAAGTCCCATCTAGTCAGGGAGTGCCAGTACAAGTGATGCGAAAGCTTAGGGAGTGATAGTTTTATCGTGCAGGCAACTGGTCGAAGAAGTCAAAGAAGCGGCGGATAAAGCTCAGGACCGACTGTCGTGACCTGCATCTAGCTAGGCGGCAAAGTATGTCCATTGTGAGGACTCGTCTGGACTGCCCTTCGCCGTGATGGGCAAACGGTGATCCCTTCAACGCATGCATCACGGCCTCTTGACTCCCAAAACCGCCCGAGCGGAGATGGACTCCGAGGACGAAGCCTGCCATACGCGCAAGCGCCAGCAGTCGCACACGAGCCGCCGGCGACATCGGGACCTAGGTCACCGGGTCAAGAGAGGAGAGCCGCGTTTTTGACAAGACGTGTCGCAGGTGCAAGCAAAAAGTGAACTTTGCAAGCAGGACAGAGTCATGTTGATTGTGCCCTGTCTCCTGCAACTGTAGGTGTGAAGATGCTTGTCGCAGTTTTGGAGGGTGTATGGTCAGGCAGGCACTCAAGTCAATCAACTATTGGAGCTAGGCTTCGAGCGAGTCGAGCGGATTCGTGCAGTCACATCAGTGTTCCATCGGGCAAGAACTATACTTCCAAGAGAGGCAACTGTGTGGCTAGCAGGATGTAGCAGGGCATGCTGTTTGCGAAGGGCGAAGGCAGAGACAGGGACGGAGGAATGATTGAGATTCGGAGACGAGGAATCAGCCGAAGCTTCGGTGCGCGTTTTTCCGCATCTTCGAGACCCGTGGGGGAAAAGCGTTTGCGGCAGACGGTGTGCAAGCATGCAGAAGGTGTCTATAACAGAACTGGAAACGACCGGTGCGTGGTGCCTACTGGTGGGTCTTGTTCGACGTTGAGCCGAGGCAGCTACCCACCCACAGAGCCTGTCTGTGTTTTTTGAAAGATTCGTGCAGCTTTGTGCCAGCATCCCAGATTGACCGACAGTTTTCGCTTGCTGTCATGATGCACGGAGCTGCAAGGCGTCGGACAGCCACGAAGGTCCAAAGGGACTCCCCCAGGTGCGCCAGTGAAACAAGTAGCTCAGCCGTGTGCCACGATGCCTGCGTTTGAAGAGGCAGCGGTCGTGTCCCAAAGTCCAGGCCAGGCACATGCTTGGAAGGATCTGGTTCTCGATTCAATTTAAGGTTGCCACAATAGGGATCTATAGTAAATGATATGGTTTCCTTGTTACAGTAACTTAAACTAACTCCCTTAACAAGAGCCCAGGGATTCAGCTCGAGAGAAATGGTGTCGAGATGTCCTGAGAAGCGGAATCAGCAGGTGAAGCTGGGCAACCGCTCGGCCCCAAGACTTCCTGCTACTGTGAAAGATGAAAGTCGATACGGCCCCTTGTTTTGCCAGCAGTCAAGGGGGAATAAAGGAACGAAGAAGGCGTTTCTTACTTTTTGCATTTAAGAGGTGCTTAGGCAACCCCAACTTTAGTACGAGGGGATGGTTCAACTCGCATCCATCTCACAGCGTCCACACTTGGGTTAAGCAATCGGAGACCGGCAAACATCAACCATTTCAGCATCCACACTGGGGTCAAGCATTTTGGGCCGGGCTTGGCATACCTCCAAACATCAACCGGTTCAGCGTCCACACGGGACTGGCGTACATCCGAACATCAGCCGCTGTAGATTGTTTGAGCGTCCACAGTGGGGTCAAGCATTTCCGGGCCGGGCCTGGCATACATCCAAACATCATCCAAACATCAACCTCCTCAGCGTCCACACGTCTAGGCCTTCGGAGACCGACCGGCCGGGAAAGCATGCAAACATCAATCGTTAGTCATTCCTTAAACAAGGTACATCGGAGCCCTCAAAAGCCCGGTAGGAAGTTGTATCGGAGGTCCCGAATACACTTTGGCAAGGTGTGCTGTAAGACATCATGCAAAATCATACCAGGGGGGCCTGGGCCTTCAAAATAGGCCAATAGGCTTGGGGGTACCGTCCTCATACAAACAGTATGCGGGAGCGGGATTGCAAGATCGGAGCCTTTGATGCCCCAGGACCCTTTAGGAGAGCCCTTTAGCAAATTTATCAAGGTGTATCGGACACCAGTCCTTTAGAAAGTTGTATCTGAGCCTCCAAACCCTTTAACAAGAGGTATCGGAGCAGATGTATCGGTATCGCTCTTCAAAGGCTTGCGTTCACTCGAGGGAAAGGGACACAGGAGACCTTTGTAACACTTTCGCGACAACGGCATCTACTTGCTGAGCGGACAAATCGCCTGCCTGTGCCATGTGCTTTGGAACACCTTCTGCGACGGCATCTATTTGCGGAACTGTGACGCCTAGGCTGTGTTTTGTAACCACTTCGGCGGCAGCGGCTACTTGCAGAACGGACAAATCTTGCACATGTGCTTAGAGCTTTGTAACACTTTCGTCGACGTCGTCTACTTGTGGAACTGACCAATATGCTGTCTGGAAATGTCTGGAACTTATGTGCGTTGTAACCATCTTGGTGGAGGCGTCTATTTGTGGAACAGACAAATCGCCTGCGTGTGCCATGTGGTTGTAACACACCTTCTGCGACGGCGTCTACTTGCGAAACTGACTGTCTGGAACATGTGTTTTGTAACCACTTTGGCGGCGGCGTCTACTTGCAGAACGAAATGGAACGGATCAAAGGCAAGAACATTGCCGCCACCCGGTCGTGGTGGCCTGCGTCAGTTTCGGGGAAAGCACCAAACCCCACAAATGCAACGACTTCAGCGCTTGACAGTATCACTCTTTCAAGGCCTGCGTTCACTCGGGGGACTTGACCAAAGGCGTGTATTTCACGACCTTGGATTGCTAGCGTTAAGAGGGGAAGCAACAAGTTTGATAATAAGTTTGGGGGGTCGATTGCTTCCCGTTGGCCTGTTGCGTTCAAGGGTGTTACCGCTTCCGGGCGTGATGCTATAACCGGTGGCAGGGGTTCTCACAACTGCGTAGCCAATGTAGCATAAGCCTCGTTTGCCTGCGAGCTTAACGCGGCAAGCGCCAAAATGGATGCGCGATTAACCGCAGCTGTCAGTACACTTCTTCACTTCCATCTTTGGATTGCCACGCGGCTAAGGCCTGAGACGGGACGGGGCCAGCCAGGCTTCGGCATCCGCCATCTCTGACTGACCTGACCAGCTTTCTCAGCAGGAAATTCGCCGCGGCCTCTTGCCAATGTGCCTCCCACAGTGGATGCGAAGATGGCTTCCAAGCTTACGGGTGCTTTTTCGAGCATTCACTCACAGGCTGGACTGCTTCTCTTTCAGGACTTCCCACAGCAGGGGTAGGAAAGCCTTTGTGCCAGCAAGGTGCTGTCTGCGGCGTGCAGCCATTACTTACGCTTGCGGTGCTGTCAGGACTTGAAAGCTAGACCTCGCATGGACTGCGCTCCAAAGCCTACGCCTGTATCCCGGTGCTACGAGTGGTTTATTTCAATGCAGCCCAAGTTTCTTCACCGCAGGCTTCCGCGATTGACCTTCAGCCTGCAGTGCAGGTTTTGTGCAGGCCTGCCCTGCGGCCTAGATCTCCGGGCTTGCACGATCTCGCAGGCTTTGATCTTTGTGTCTGTCAGGCAAGATCAGTTTGGAAGACGTGGATGCTCAGTGGGGGCGGCCAGGGGCAGAGGCACGGCGGGGAGATCTTGGCCCAGTTTTGGCGTCGGAACCTGCACCGCTCCAGCCAGGCGTCGAGCAAGTTCCAGTGTCCGCACTGCCGTACCGAGCCGCTTTGCCTGAGCTAGTCTGTGTTGCCGAGGCTGGCGTGAAGCCCTGTGCTTGTGCTCAGGTCTACGCTCAAGCTCCGTGTAGAGACGGTCGCGACCTCGGTATTGAAAAACTTGAGCCGCTGGGCTCCGCTCGGCACAGCAGAGATTGCGCTCATCTGAACGTGTGCGAAGGGAGCCAGGGACCTGACGGAGATAGATCTGCTCCACCCCAAGAGGCCAACTACTTGCAGTTGTGGATGCGTGCTGAATTCCACCGTTTCCACTGGCAGGCTAGGTATGGCATTGAGGGAGTTGGAGTCTTTGACAGGCCAGGTTTGAGTGACTGTTCCTTTGGCCGGGTGATCTCGATTAAGCGAGGTCCTGCATGGTTGGCGAGCCGCTGCCTTAGACTCTTGCAGCAGAGATGTGAGGACGTGGTCCAGCACTATCGTCGCGGCAGGACTAGCGCGAGACTATCCCCACTGGCATTTGAACCTACTGCAGCTCGGCTACCCTTTCCTGTGGATGCGGGAGCCAGGGGGCAATGTGTGCTAGACCGATTCCGTCCCGAGGTGGCAATTTCGGCGCCACAGCCTGACTGATCGAGCGGAGCATATTTTTGCCAGTGGCGTGTTGCGTAGGGCCGTAGCTGCTGAGGACACGGTTTATTCGACGAACACATGCTCACAGCATTGGAGCCAGACAAGGCAGGAAATTGTGCAGTGAAGCCGCAGAGGATGGCCTGGCACGCCTGCAGGCAAGCAGCCGTCTCACTAGTGATGGTACTGTTGCTGCAGCCTCGGAGCTCGACGTCAGAAACGGGCGAAATTCGGGTCGCGACTTTGCAAGACCAGAGGTGCGAAGCGACGCTCGTTCCCGGCTGCGTTCCAGCAGTGCCCTGCTCTTAGCACCGCTTGCAGCCTTCTATGTGGGTGTAGGTTCCACATAGCGAAGCGATCTTGTTTTCCGGCGACAAACACATCACGTACTTGCGGCCACCGGCTACCCGAGGATTCCCAGTCCGTGTCAGAGACGCTCCAATGCCAAGCGGGCACTATGAACTCAGCGCGCCCGCCACGCTTGCTGGGTAGCCGTGAAAGGTCGGTGAACTCGCCTTCTGCCTCAATTAAGCTGGCCTTGGGAGCTTCTCTCTGGGCTCACTTTCAACGCTGAGCTTCTCAGTCCAGCTTCATGGCCTTCGCCAGCTTTTCAGGTTCTGAGTTTGAGCAACCCGAGCCAGGCAGGAACGTTTGAGGCCGGAAGTCCCTCTTCATGAGCGAAGAAGGCAAAGAGTGGTCCTGCAAGGTCTGGAGTGAGGGCCAGACTTGGACTCACGAAGGCACTCATGTTCCACCTGCAATCCAGAGAGCGAGAGATGTACCGGTTTCTGAGGCTCATCGAGGCGCAACAGCAAAATGGGATCGGAGCAGCGAGCTCACTGCGAGCTCGGAGGGCTTCCATTTCCGTGATGCACCATGACAGCAGTGTGGTGTCCCTGTCCATGGCTTGGCATCCCAGCTTCGTGGTTCCGAGTCGACCAGTACACAGCAGCGTGTTGCCACGGGTTCCACTCACTGCTATCCCCGTCAGCTTGCTTCGTACTATTTTGGTCGAGTTAATGCGAGCACCAACATACAGCCTCAGAATTGCTGGCGGCTGCCGAATTCCAAGGTAGGAAGGCCTAGGGTGTAGGGTAATGCATGCTGAATTCGGGCGGCCATGTGTGCCGACTCTTGCAAGCTGGAGATATGGCTAGACTGCCGGTTCTCCGGCACAGAGGGGCACTGGCCTTAGGCCACAGAGGTTTCAGAGACACACAATATCACATAACAGTGTAGGCTTTCGCGCACGCGAGCTTCCACGTTCCGCGTTTCCCAGGCCGGCGCCCCTGGCCTGTCGCCCGGCAGAAAAATGGGCCAGCTGCCGAGAGCTTCTCGGATCTTTCAACTTGAGGTGACCGGCGGCTCCTTTATAGCGGTGCCACAGCAGGGAAGCGTGACCTGCTCTGTGGCGCAGCCTGGCGGCACACGCTGCAATGGGATCGCGGGGTGCAGGCAGTCTTGATATCGCCCCGCTTCCTGATTGCAGGCAGGAGGCCGTGTCGAGGATTGCGATGGTAAAGAAATGGGCGTTGCTGAGCTGAGCATGAGACTAAAGACCCTGCTTGATCGTCTTTGACCCGTTACCGCTTTTTTGGCACTCTGTCCAGCCCCCGGACTGTCAGGTTCTGTTCATCGGCACCGGGGGAGAAGTCCACAAGCATGCCCTGGAGATAATGGGGAACGTTGACTGGGCTGCTCTGCTACAGCAAACTCGAAACCCGGCCAGCGAGCGTGTTTAAGCGTCTCACCGTGACAGTCGGCCCCGCCCCAGAGCCCAGGTTATCCTGCAGGCTCCGACCTCAACAAGCTTCACCACGTTGCTTCTGCACGTGTGGAACTGTGGAACCCAAAGCCCAGCACAAGGCTGACTCGCTGGTTCCGTCGGATGCGCTGCTGGCTGCCAGTAGCAGGCTGGACTTGTGCGGCCGTGAGGGAAGGCCTCTACTCTCTGTTCTGGGTGTCTGGGAGGCATGGGACGCGGCTGGCGGTTGTGCTTAGCAACGAGCTCTTTGATAGCAGCAGCGGGCGAAAGGAAGGAGATCCCATCTGAAGACGATGAAGGGGCTGGAAGTCCCTGCCCAGGCAGCACTTGGAGGATTTCGAACCGGCGCTACCGAGGACATCGGGGAGTTCCTGATTCCTGCGTGCCACATGAACCCATGCGCCTGATCAGGACTGGTGCATTGGTAGTTTCTGATGACACGCTGCTGAACAAAGCCATGGTGAAGCGCATGGTCGCCCGGCCCGAGTTTAAGTTGCATGTTGTCGAATCTGTAACGCCAGCAGCAGCCGAGCTGTGCCGTCGGATGTGCCACCCCTACACCTCTGAGATCGTAACCTCCCAGCCTCGCCAAGCCTCACCTCCAGCGCTGCGACGCGCCCAGGCACTCAACAAGTCAGAGTCCCCGATGCTGAACACAGCAGCAAGGCTGCACATGACATCTGGCACCAAGGTGTCCTCTCTTTGCTTGGGCCAGTGGAGAAATTTTTGCGATACACAGAGCAGGGCTGGTTGAGAAAATCTTTCTGTCGTGCATGGAGGTCACTGACTCTTTCTTTCAATTTACTTCGGGTGCCTGCTGAGCAGCAACTCAGGCTTTCTCGATCTGCAAAGGAGGGGGCAGTTGGTGTTGAAGGGCTTCCATGCCTCGGGTCTTTTCCGATGTCTACTCAAGCAACATTGTGGCGGTAAAAGTCCTAAATCACAACTGTTTGAGAAAAGCCATGCCGATCTTGACCCGAATCGCCGCGAACTCAAAGCTTGACTTGACAGATCAAACGGGCAGTGGACCCCTGAATCTCGACAGTCCAAGAGCACCGGGTTTCTTGGCCAATTGTCTTCTTAAACAGAGCCGGCGCGTCAGCGATTGAGCTCACGATTTCTGGGGGGGGGGGGGGGGGGGTTGGAAGAGGCATTATGAATCATGCAGCATAACCCTGTCATCGAAGGTGTGCGGCGGCATCTTTCTCCCTGCAGCTGAAGCGCTGACCTTACTTACAGTTTTGGCATTCTTTTGGCACTAACATCCCTGCAGTGGGTCAGTAGGCGGAGGTGTGGTGACGGAAAACACAAGACTGAACCGAGGAGCTTAAGCTGGTCACTGTGGAGTCTGTGGAGGTCGTCAGTGGCGGCTTGGCATAGACCCTCTCATCGTGAAGATATATATATATCTATATATATATATATATCTCTCTCTCTCTCTCTCTATATATATATATATACATATGCTGGCACTTCATGTTAGTGAATGTGCTGTCCTCTGAGGTGAAGCCGACAGTCGCTTGTTTTGCACGCTGGGTATTGCAAGTAGAGAAGGTATGGTGCTAGCCGTATTCACCTGCCCGACAGCTGAAAAGGAGTGTACCTGGACATGATCAGCATGCTGCAAGATGGTGAGGGTGCACTGGTGGGCTCAACGGCAAAAGCTTTATGCTGCCCAGCTTGACAGAACACAGTCTTGACGCATGTCCGGCAGAAGGTATTCGTGGAGTTTGGAAGACTTTGAAGCTCCGCCTCGCAGCCAGGTTTCATTCACGCAGACTCTGGAGGACGTGCTTTCAGAATAAATGCGGGTCCTGTGCACGATGCTTGGCACAACTGGTGGACCTGCAGAGTCAAAGGAGGGCTTGACAGAGAGGTGCATGGAAGGGGGCTGGGGATGAGACAGCCGAGGCGTACGTGGCCCTGCCTGACGGACGCACCAAGTACTTGAGAGCCTCGGAAAGAAGTCCGTGAGCTTTTCGGGGCAGCTTTTGAAACGGGTACCGTGGTCAAAGGTGACGTCGAAGCTGGCGACCAGATCTTGATGGTGGACCTGGGACGGGGTGGCGGAGGAGCACCTGCCAGCCGCAGCACCTCAGAGCCACAACAGAGCATTCCAGTGCAAGAGATCCTGTCATGCGCAGTGGCCATGACTTGGCTTGACTAGTGACTAGTGACTAGCTGGGAGGCAGGAGGATTTGGTGAGCTTGGCCTGGCTTGACACGATTTGAATGCGTTACGCATCAGAGGTGTGAATGTTGGCCGATGCCAAGTGGAGCGGCGACAAGTTGCCCGAATTCGATTGCACTTTGATGGAGAGCACAGTTGCCTGATTGCATCCCACCCGAACCTCTGGTGTGCACAGTAACCGACGGTTGAGTGTTCTTTTTGATTCTGGCATGTCCCAAGGTCAGTTGTTCCTTGAGTGGATCGACACTGTTCGCCTTCATGGTCGACACGTTGCCCGGCTCACAGATAAGCGCTTGGCGGCTTTACCTTTCGCCGTCTCGGCTTCGCATCTCAGCTCAGATGTTGAAGGCATCCGGCGGTCCGGGCCAAGCATGCTCCCCGCTGCCAATCACGCAGCTTCGAGCAGGCTGGCTGCTAAGGTTTTTCTTTCAACGCGGCTTGGTCAAAGCTCAGCAGGCTCAGCAGAGGATTAGCAGTGTAAGGCCTGTAGGGGATGTGTCGATGATGCAGAGGCCAGAGACTTCCGTCGCGTGCGCAGGTGATGAGATCCTGGTCCATTGGGCAAGTTCCAGTCCGTCCCGAGCTGTACATACAGTGCACTCCATTCCGTCTGAGAAGTAGTCCCCGAACGTGCCAAGTGTCCGATAACTTGGAGGCAGTACGGAGGATTTGGAATCTAGATCTTGTGGCCAAGAGAAGTCTGTAGAGATCCGGAAGGAAGTTGCCGCTGTCTCTTCGCATGGCTCACAAACCGGCAAAGCCGATCATCGCACTAGTGGTGAGCTAACCAGCCAGCGGATTCTTCTTCGCATGCTCGGAAGGTGGTTGTCACCAGAAATGACTTGTGCCGGCTTTTACATGCGCTGTGCAGTACCACTGTTTCTATGACTTCGGTCGTGACCCTTCCGTGGATGCACGAGTCTAGTCTGTCAGATTGCTATTAGCTTTTCAACCGAAACAAACGAGGCATCGATGTGCATGGCCACGAGTGCCACTCGTAACAAAATAACAAAAAACACTGTGCGGGGGCGATGCAAATTCAGCATGCGCACGCCGGCTGGAATGCTGACTGTGCTATGATGTGCTTTTCAGTGCTGTGCTGCAAGGATGTGTTTGCCAGCCGCTTGGGAGGCAAGCCGAAGCGCCTCAGGACTGAGAGGGGGCCCCCGACCCCCCGGCCTGTCAGGTTTCCAACCAAGTTGAGCTCCTCACTGTGGAGCGGCTGCGCATGCAGATGGAGGCCGGCCGCGAACGGCCGCGTCTAGACTTGCTTGCGTTTGTCCGTTTTTGCTTGGAGGACCTCCGAGGGCAGCCGGGTGCCAAGGAGCTCTGTGAGCTCGGACTGGGACTGGGAAGTCGGACTTCGAGCTGGAAGTCCAAGGCTGCACCGGAAGTCTCAAGTGTCAGAGGAGCGCGAAGAGGACCGTGGGCACAGACTTCCGGTTCAGGCTGTTTGCTGCTGCCCGGGCCAGGCGGAGTCTGTCGCAAGAAAAGCTTTGGGGCGAGCCTATGGCAAGGCACACCAAGTGCTACAGCAGACCATGCTGAGCTGAGGGGGCTGAAAGTTTAGTTTTCGGCATGATTGTTGGACCACAGAGGTGCTTGAGGAAACTGTGCTTCCGGAGATTCTTTGCAGCAAAGCTCGGCAGTCAGAGGCATGGACTCACTGACACCAGTAAAGGCTACTTCCTTTTTCCGAAGCTGTTGTTGCCAGGTCGCTGGGGTGGCCGCACAACAAGTGCTGGGAAGAGCCTATGACAAGGTGCAAGTGGCACATTTGTTGAAGGAGTTGCTGGCGTGCTGGGTTGCGATGTTCGAAAAGGTGCTTGAGGGCATCAAGGCCCTTCCCCACGAGCCTTGCGAACGCCAAGGTACGGTGGTGCTGGAGGCTGGTCAACTGGCTGCTTTGGGTCAGTTTCCCGCTATGCAAGTAAGATGCTCGGAAGGAGAAGGTAGTCCTTCGATGGGCGGAAGGCTCAGCTTGCTAGGCACAGTCAGTGTTTCGATAGGGAGGACAACATGCACTCGTGGCAAGTCCACAACAGGTAGCCAAAGAGTCGTTATTATACTGAGTCCGTTATGTCCGTTGCAGGCTCTACTCTTGGCCTAGACAGCAGCCAATATGACGGTGCATGTGGCCTGTCTTCGTAGCCACAGGAAGACACCATGTCATCTGTGTTTGTTTGCAGGACATAGATGGACAAAACTCGCAAGCATGTTCATCCGCTACTTGACATGGTAACAGCCCGTCACATACTGCATGAGGATATTTGAATCGGCAGGCGCTAGATGCTATGCGGGAAGAGTAACGCGGCCTGGGTACGCCTCTACTGGCTACGGCCGGTGAAGCCACACAGGAGGAGAGAGAGCAGAGCCTGGTACTCCAAGGCTTACGAGTGACTGTGCTACAAGGGCACGCCCCGTCCGACTCGCCAGACAGCAGTGCGCAGAGAGAGCTCCCAGATTCGCAAGTGAATTTGCCTACGTCGTCCTTCGATTGCGACTCGGTGGGGTACCGCCAGATCACTGCTCTCTGGCGAGTCGCACGGCGTGCCCTTGTAGGCCGTGCATCACGCCCATGTGCTAGCAAGAAAGATCTGACGAAGTTGATCGGATGCCAGTTCTGACATGTTTCTCACATCTGTGGAAGATGATTGGATGCAAGCTCTTGCATGTTTCTTACATCTGTGGAAGTTGATTGGATGCAGCTCTTAGATATTTCTTACATCTGACGAAAAAAATCAGGTGGCTAAAGATGCTGTCGTGCCGGTCCCAGGAATTTGGTTCGATTTGCTACCTTTCATATTATGTGGTTCTGTCCCTTTGAGGCCAGAGCGGTGACCGGTGCTCTTTGCAGGCGCAACGTTCCAGCCCCGTTGGTTCTGTCTGCAAAGCCGATGACCGGCAGGATGCTCCCAGCCGGTTCGGCAGGCTTTGGGCATAAACTTGTCAGTTTAGCTTAGGCAAACAGCATTGCCGTGGTCTACTGGCAGCCCTGGTGGTTCCTTTGGAAACAACATGCGCGCCCTCTTTGCCAGGCGAGTGCCAAGCGCCTACTCGCCAAGCAGATGCGAATGGTTCCCAAATCAGGGAGCCGCCGCACGCCAAACGCTCAGCTGCAAATATGGTGGCATGCTGGCCAGCGGGATGCCGATGGGCGTGCCTAGGCTGACGCCACCATGCTTTCCGATAGCAGGCGGGTAGAGAGCTGTTCCGACATGGCATGCCAAGCTAGTTGCAGTTTGACATGCGAAGTGGCTTGTCGCCCCCATCACAGGGCCACTGGTGATCCAGGAGGACAGGAGGACGAGATGCAGATGACACCGACGAGCCATCAAGAAGCTTTGGAAGCTTGTCAGAGGGAGTCGGAGCTGGAAAAGAGCACTTGCTGGGGTTCCACATCCCCTGGAGACCACTCCACGGACGGCACTGGGCACGAGGTTTTGTCTGCAGCATCGCAGGAACCTGGCATCCTTCCCAGCGTGGTTCCTCCAGGCTGGGATGTGAAAAGCACGGACAACGGCGACGGCGGGCCCAATGACTCAGAGCAGGTGGAGCTTGAGGATGATCTCTCAGAGCTTCAGTTCCGTGAGCGAGTGGACCGGAGAACCCGAATGTGGAAGCTGCGAAAAATGCGGAGGGCCTGGCGCATCTGGCGCACAGCGGCCCAGCATGCCAGCTCCAGGGACGAGGATGGCGAGGAGGAGAAAGAAAGCGAAGTGGTCGAGGCGGAAGAGGCCCAGGAGGGTTTGGACGCAGGCAACCAGCCGGCCGAAGGACAAAGCCCTGTGGCTGATAGCTTCGCAGAGGCAGATGGGCTCGAGACCCATGAGCCGAAAGAAGCGAAACGGTCTGAGTCGGAGGCTCTTGAACTGGATGCAGAAGCCGGTGAATGCAAAGATACTTTGCAAGACAAGGACTTTGCTCGCAGCTCGTCGAGGGAGCCTGCTGGGCCCATCGAAACTGGGGCTCCTCAGACAGAGCTTGAGCCGAAGGAGCTGCGGACACCTCGTTTGCCCAGCAAAGGTGATGACGAGACTCGTGCTGTGGAAGCGCATCTGAAAGACCTCGATACAGACATTTCAGATGTGGAGCGTCACGACGGGTCAGCTCACGAAGGCATTCCTCGCATCCGAAAGCCTTTGGCCCCGCCGTTGGTTCCGTGCAATGACATCGACGCGTGGAGTACAAGGCCCCAGCTAGATGTCGTGTTTTTTCCAGAGCCTCATGTACGACCTCTGCAGTTAATTGCGACATGCGAATTCATATCTGTCTGCGAAAGTCTACGAAGCTATACTCTGCGAGGCGGCGTGCGCATCCTCACAGCCAGCAGTCTGCGTTTCTGCACCGCGGTCGCAGAAGCAAATTCCATTCAGATTGAGTTGAACAAGACCTAGTCTAATGGTAGTCAAGAGTCGAGCCCACTTATGTGGGCAGTTGGACAGTAGTGACTTCCTGGCCTGTCAAGTGCAGTGCCGATAGCAGAGGGAGTATAACCCTCGAGCGTATGGGCCCGAACAGCAGCATCTGTCTCTGTAAGAGCTGTAAAGCCGCTTGCTTGTGGGACTGGCGGGGCATCGCACTATGGCTGCTCAGGACCTCAGCTCGAGATTCATGTGCACTGCCGGTTCTTGCCTCAATGCATACTGACGTTTAGGAACTTGTGGATGTACGGAGATCACCGAGACAATTCGCAGCTAAGAGTTGCAGTACCTCAGTACGTGCTGATGTGCGCAGCCAAGTTGCCCGAGGGTTCTCAAGAAGTTGGAGACTACTGTAGGATGTGGTGCATGCTTGCGTGCCTTGGCTGGTAGATTCCAGCAGCATGGCTGCCTGCTTCGTCGAGTACGTGGAGGGGTTGGGGCGATGTCTTATGGCCGGTCGCGACATCGAGCCAGGGGAAGAAATCTTGATGGAAGCCCCCCTGTTGGCAGCAGATGCAGCTGAAGCAGACCTGGCATATGCAGACATGGCCATTGAAGCAGAGGAAGGCCAGCCATGGTCACGCGTGAAAGTCGATGCTACTGCAGTCAGCCGACTGCTTGGCTTGTTGCAGGCATACGCTCGCTCTGAGCCCGACGTCAAGCGCGCAGTTCTGGAGTTGGATGACACGATGGAAGCTGGGACGGCGGCCTGCCTTGTTCGAAAGCTCGCTGCTCTCTTGTCGGAATCGGGTTTCTGCCCGCGGATGCGCAAGATGGAACTGCACTGTGTGCTGTGCCCTATCTGTCCTCATGCTATATGTCATGTCCCGATGCTTGATGTAGGAAGTAGGCATTGCTGCGTGGTTTCACTCGGACTGGTTGCTAAAAGTAAAGTTACTTCGCTGGCAAGGAAAATCTTCTGGACCAATGCATTCCCATTTGGGAATGGGGGCTCGGCTCTTTTCCGCACTCTCTGCTACTGCGCGCACTCCTGCCACCCGAACGCCTTCTTCTACCATTGCTCCAACTCTGGGCATGTAGTGAGTCTGAAGGCCATCTCACGTGGATCCCGCGTTGAGATTTCCTATGTCCCAAGACAGCCCCTGGTCTGCATCGTTGAAGGGATGTCTGTCTAATACTTGCAGTGGTTGCTGAAAGGTACATCCTGCTCCAACGTCGCCTCCGGCAAATCTTCTTATCTTCAACCCGAGGCTTTGGCTGCAACTGCTCCCGCTGTACTTTGGAGCAGGACATTGGGGAGGAATCCGAGGCCCACAGTGTGTCGCCAACGTCGCCCCTCCGAATTTGCTGTTGCGTTATGCCCTGGGTGGGGCACCTGCTGCCCATGGCGCGCTTAGCCTTGGCCCTTCAACTGCGGTGCAGTGTTTTCTTCATGACCACGAGCCTGGGGGCTCGACGCCTGCGTTCTCTCGGCAAGGAAGTCGAGAGGCTGACTGTGGTAGAGATCGAGGACGGGCTTGGTCTGGACGCCGAGCGTAGGCTCGCGGTTCAGCTCCAAGAGCCAGGCCAAGAGCCCGTTTTGGAGGCGAACTTGGCAGTTGAAGCGTTGGCAGAGGTGCAAGTGCAGCGCCTCGTGGGGTTAGGGGTGAAAGACTTCGTGCTGGACTGGCTCAGCTTCGGCTTTGCGAACAGTATTCGTGCCTGCGGGGGGCGATATTGTGTGTCAATGCCTGGTTCAACTTTTCAAGCGGAGTTTTGTGCCGAAGGGCCGGCATCGGAATCGGAAAACTATGCGCGCACTCAGAGTGCCATTCAGAACATGCTGCATGAAACCCGGATTTTCGTTCACGGCCTTCCGAACATGGTCCGCAACAGCCCTGAACCTCTTAGTGGTCAGATCACCTGTGTGGGCATCCTCGGCAGTGCTCTGGAAGCTCTACCCAAGGATGTGGAGGCATTTCTCACTTCTGCGGGCCCTCCTGTGTTGTATGTATACCTGGGATCGTTAACATGTTTGGGTGCAATGGAATTGGAAGAGTTGTGCGAAGCACTTTCCGCACCGGGCACGTTCCGAGTCATATGGTCTTTGCCGGAAGATTGGCAAGTGCAGCTTCCCAGATCCGTCACGCAAAGTGAGGATTTTTTCTTGTCCCAGTGGCTGCCGCAGGCTTCGATTCTCGCACACCCCTCATGCCGCGCTGCGTTAATTCATGGAGGCTGGGGTTCGCTTGTGGACGCGATCCAGTTTGGCAAGCCCGTGGTCGTACTTCCGATCTTCGGTGACCAGCCCCTCAATGCCCAGATCGTCGAGTCGATGAAGTTCGGAGTAGCTCTTCCGCGGAGTGGGCGTCTCTTGGGCAAGGGCGGCACAGGGAGCAAAGCAAAGCGCCTCCGAGAGTCGATCCACGCAGTTCTGACTCCGGGTCCCTTCTCGGAAGCGGCCCGAGCCTGGCAGGCGGAAGCGGCGAACTTCGGGGGTGCGAGTTACGCTGGCGAGGTGGTGGCAGGATATTTCCAGGGGGAGAGGGAGAGGTCTCGAGAAAGTCGGAGGGAACTCCAGGTTTCCGTGGTGGATTTTGCCGAAGATCTGCGCCCACTGAGTTTCGAGGATGCGGATGCAGATGACTCAGATGATCTGTTGCCCAGGGGTGCTCAACTAGAGATACTGCTCGTGCAGAGTGCCATGCTTCTCGGACTTGCCGATGAGATAACGTGGTGGTTATTGAGGCTTCGTGTCTACAGGGATTCTCAGCGCTTTCTCTGTCACGGAGAAGCTGTTCTTCGAAATCTGGAAGGACGAGATGTGGTTGAGCTGGTTGCTTTAGCCGGGGCTGTTCACAACAGACTGTTGGGACAAGTCGTCCCATTAGGAATTGCTTCTCCCGTTCTGAACGGGGAGCCACACCGGCCGGCCAATTTTGCAGCTGCATGGCTTGCGTCTGGGAGCATGCTGCGCGGCATCGTCAACAGAGGTGACATTGCACGGAGATGGCAACGGTAGTAGATTTGCTTGGGGTGGCCGATTTGTACCTGTCCCTGACAGGTGCATGCAAAAGCCTCTCAGAAGGGAAATCTGCTGGGGCTGGTACCATCACAGGCATCGGCCAGGAGGGGTTGGTTCATGTCTCCCTTCTTGGTGGGCAAGTTGCTGCAGAAGTAGCATTTTCCTCATGCCTGCCGAGCCCAGTCGAAACTGAACATGCTTTGGACCCTTGTCACAGGCACGTCCTTCGTGCCTAAATACAGAATGCACTTATTGTTTGGTTGGCATCTGCAATTGCCGCTTCGGCTATGTGTCTACTGACTGATGGTTCCACTGAGGATGCGATCCTGGATGCAGCAGCAGTTGCCCTGCGATCGCAGTGGTGGCGCTACCCGCTATCTTGCGCATCGGAGCTGACGTGATGCAGACAAAAAGAGCCCACCCGTCCGCGCAGGCTTGTGCCCGAGGCCAGTTGCTTCAGGTTTGCAATCGGGCATCAGATGGCCACTAGAAGTACTACGTCGAACTGCGCCCAAGGACCCGCAACCTCGTCGCTCGGCTTCCGCACCACCTGAGCGCCGAAAAAGAGGACAGCTTCTTTTAACTTTGTCAGACAAATGCTTGCCGGACACAGTTCATGTTCAGGACGCAGGCATAAGATTGTTCCTCGTGTTATCTCAACAGGCCAGAGCAAGGTCCGCCGGGATATGCTGTCCATTTCTCTCTCGCCTGCTCAAGGTCTTGCTACTGCACCCACCTCTGCCATCCATTCGCCCAATTCCGTCTTCCCGACGCACCGCGCTTGGGGAACGAGCCTGCTGACCACAGAGCGGGGCGCCCATGCTTGGTGCACACCCCTTGTCCCAAGGCCGCTACTGCCAAGAGAGCGGTCCCAGGCTTTGCTCTCGCTTTGCTGCGGTCTTTGCTGTCCCGTTCAGAGTGCAGAAACACATGCACACAGTTGGATGCGCAGGCCTCGCGGGCACTAGCACCCGAGCGTGGCCGTGACCGCAGAAGCAAGTCTGTGACCACGGTGCCGCACTTGGGAACAGGTTCTGTGTAGACCCATCAGGTTGAAGAATTGAAACACTGTGGGGTCGCGCTTCTCATGGGAGCCTGGCCAAACCAATAATACCAGCATGGCGAACATGATTGAGGTCACCGCCGTCTCCGCGTGGTAGCATCTTCCACCATGGCTGTGAGGCTCTGAAAAAGCGCTCATGACCTTTGCACCGCCATCAGATGGCCATCTCGCAGAGAAGTCGATGCGTTCGGGTTCAGTGAAGCTCCCCCAATGTCAAAGACTTGGTTGCGTGCATCGCCAAGACTCAGCAGATCGAGAAAAAGGTTGCCAGTCAGTAAGCTGCGCGATTTCAGAGTCATACACGAGCATCACTACTTCATTGTTGCCTGCTTGCCGGCAAGCCTGAACGTAGCCGCTGTTGTTGAGAGACAGACTGATCGGAATGCATCTCGAGTTGGCACGTCAAAATATTTTGCGCTCAGAGACCAGTTGAGGAGTGGTGAGAATGGCGTGCGTGTGCAGCATCGGCTGCACCCGGCGGGCCGCTCAACTGGCCCCAGTGCCAGTGCAACATTTCCCTTCGCATGCTTGGAGCACTCCATCGCCGTGGGGTGCTCTTTGGAGATTCGAAGAGATTGCAACGATTACTGCATTGGTGGCAGGGCTTCTGCCAAAGCGGAGTGCAAGGCCAGGGAGATGTTGGGAGCTTTCTTGTCATCATCTCTCTCTCTCTCTCTCTTTCTGTGGAGCCCGCTGCTTGGCGGGCTTTTACAGGCGAGAAGGCTCCAAAGATGTTGCCAACAGCTTGTGTTCGTGTCGGGCGGTGGCGCAGCTTGTCCCAACACTTGCAAAGTATAGTTAACTCAAGTGTCAGTGCATGTCGCCGGCAGCCAGATCGAAGGAACGAGGCTTGTCAAAGCCTTCGGAGAAACGGAGATGGCAAGAATCGCAAGGAACTCTTGCGGCACTATGTGGCGGCCATCGGTGCTTTTGCAAAAGCCGGCGAGCCGGAGAAGGCTGACGCTTGCTTTCAGGAAATCAGCGCCGCACGCCTGGATCCCGATCTGTTTGCATACACCGGCATGATCAACGCGCATGCCCGGACTGGAGATGTGGTGGGGGCCCAGAGGTGGTTCCAGGAGAGTGATTGCCGCAACGGGAACAGGTTGTCCGTAACGGGAACGGGCAGGGATTCAGTTACAGCAACCCCGAGTTTCTGTAACAGCACCGGCCTGCCCCCTGTAACAGGAACCAGCGGGGAGCTCCCACACTGACTTTCGTCGCCTCCGACTACTCTTGCTGGGTTACAAGAGAGGGACCGCTTTCCGGTCCCCCTCTTAGACGTCTTCAACATGCCATGTCATGTAGCACTGCAGGAACCTTGTTCCCGAATTTCCGCTGCCTACAGCTGAACAATTCTGGAAAGGTCTGCTAGAATCATAGGTCGCCTTGTAGCTTCGGCGGCCCTCGTTGCTGCTGTCTTCTTCTCAGGACAGCATCCACGGGACATCTGCTGGATCTTGAAAGCAACTTTAGCATTGTTGAAAGCCTCTGGATCCTGAGCCACACAGCCAACAAAGAGATTCTGACGACTCGAAACAGCGCGAGGGGCCACGCATTTCTTCTGACGTGTCAGCAGCCATCCCAAGCCGAAGGTGCCGTGGCCCATCGTTTTGGGAGTGCATTGTCTGCGGGAGGCTCCAAGAACGAGGCACGTCGGCATGCTGAAAGCGACCGCTTAATCACAACATCAAAGTCTTCATGCTTGTTTGTGCAGTATTGGATTCAGGACTCAGGCTTTAATGTCAGGTTCAGCTTCTTGGAATCTCCTGCTCATTTTGGCATTTGTTGGCGTGGGGGCCTTGGGGCTCCAGGGCTTCAGATTCACCCGGGAAACGGGAGATTTTGCCTTCTTGGTCTTGGATCCGGATTCCTAAGCTAAGCAAGTGACCTTCAGCTTGCTGCTTTCTCTTCGGGCCTGTTTCAGCCCATTGTGCCACATAAATATCAGGACAGTTCAGGGCTGCAGCATGACCCACAAGAGAGCACCTGAAGACTTTGATGTTGTGATTAAGCGATCGCTTTACAGCATGCCGACGTGCCTCGTTCTTGGAGCCTCCCGCAGACAATGCACTCCCAAAACGATGGGCCACGGCACCTTCGGCTTGGGATGGCTGCTGACACGTCAGAAGAAATGCGTGGCCCCTCGCGCTGTTTCGAGTCGTCAGAATCTCTTTGTTGGCTGTGTGGCTCAGGATCCAGAGGCTTTCAACAATGCTAAAGTTGCTTTCAAGATCCAGCAGATGTCCCGTGGATGCTGTCCTGAGAGGCAGACGTCGCGCCAGTGGCAAGCGCCGTCGGCAATGGCAGCAACTAGGACCGCCGAAGTACAAGGCGACCTATGATTCTAGCAGACTTTTCCAGGCTTGTAGAATTGTTCAGCTGTAGGCATCGGAAATTCGGGACCAAGGAGTGCTACTGCTGCTGCTACCGCTACTGCTGCTGCTATTCCTACTGCTACTGAACAAAACATAGCCGTCAGTATAAGGCTTTAATGGTGTCAAAGAAGGGGACCGAAAACCGGTCCCCCTGACAAGACTTCCTCCAAGACTTCCGGACTAGTTTCGGTTGCTCGGTTTCCCGGGACACTTCCTGTTACAGTGCCGGGGTGGTTCCTGTTTTTACTATTTCCCGTTCCGGTGACGACCTTCCGAAATGGTTTCCGTCACTCCCAAACCGGGTTCCCGTTACTCCCCGCACCCGGTTCCAGGACCATCAGATGCAAAGCTGTAGACTCAGGCCCTTGCAAAGTACAGAGTTGCAGACAGTTTGCAAAGGGGCGCGATGTCCACATGCCCGCGAGGACTTGGTGAATGCTGCTCTACAGCCTGACACCGTGTGCTACAGCAGCGTTCTCAACGCCTGCGCTCAGGCTGGCGCCTCACAGCTTGCCGAGAGTTGGTTGCTCAAGATGGGTTCGGCAACTTGGCTTTGGCTATTGCAGCCATCTTGGTGTTCTGAGCTTTCAGCTGAATTGAAAAGGAAAGCGACCTTGTTGAATCTTATTTTCGTCCTTTTCATTTTTTCGTTTTTGTCTGGGGGCGGGGTGCGTGGCACTCAGAAGGTGGGGTGGGGGCGGGGGGGTGGCTGGAGGGGAGGCTAGAGGCCCGAGTGTGGAGTATACTGTTGCATCAGCCAGTTCATGTGCGTTGAGGGCGGGACCCAAATCATTGATCGGGCTTGGCGCTTCATAAATGAGTGTCTCCGTCTCAATCAGCATGGTAAGGCCTCCTCCAAACAACTGGCAGCGCAGACCCGCAATGCCCAACATGAGTATTGGCACCGAAACGAGGACTTGTGGGTATGTAGAGCCCAGCTTTTTGGAGGAGTACATGCACAACATCGTCACAAAGCCTGGGTGCTGAACAGTCGTCATCAATGCTGGCTGCTAAGGCCCTTCATTCTATCATTGAAGCAACGGAAACTACGACTGTCCAACACCCGCCTCTCACTCGCAACCTCTTTGCATTCTCGCTAGTTCCTCTGCTGAAAATAAAAACCCTGCTGTCGTGGCTTCTTCATGCAATGCTCACGTGATGCCCACAGGAGCACAAATCCAAACGGATCTTGATGTCTTCTGCCTCCGGCTCTCAAACACACGAAAACAGTAGATCCTTGAAGGGGGGGGGTAGCATATATATATATACACATGTATATATATATGTATACATATGTTTATGTTTTTGTAATACACAATTTGAAAAGGATCCATCGAGAAACTATACGTTCATTATATATACTATAATTTAATGTAAAGTACTTAGCACCAAAATACTTACAGTATATCCATCATACGTGATGTATAATGTGTATTGTGTAACAACTCGGAAAACATAGTGTATCATATATAGCAAACAAGGTATACATATATGCGCATGTATTATGCAATATGTAACATGTCAAAGCATAGCATGCACTACTTTGATTATATATATGTACAATACAAAACATCACGTAGCGTTCACAATACACGATGCAAAAAAGTACATAGTAGATAACGTGAGGTTTAAGATGTTTCATATATACTATACAACATCATACCCAAAAGTATAGTACAACTCGGATTTGATCTATCTAATTCAGCTTCATGTAAATATGGTATGCCTAGGCTCAAGTTCGGTTTTCCACCTGGGTATTGTTTCGACGCCCAAATGTACACAAAGAGATGCGGGAAGTGGTAAGTGGACGTACAAGCTTAGAACCCCAAGCCAAGTATTTGTTGATTCGCAACCCAGAGTACCAAGTCCCCTGATCCGTGGGGGGATGCAAAAGAGTTGAGATCCTTTTGGATTAGGGAGGTTCAGGGGGCTGTCTTGTCAAGAAACGTGCATGAACTGCTGATGGGACAGTATGCCGAGGGCCTAAGTGCCCACCTCTCGCCAGCACTCGCGGCCTCCACCCCCCGCCCCACGCACCAGACCAGAGGAAAAAAAGTAACACACACGCTCCCCCCTTTGAAAGGTAGCCGTAGCTTCCAGCTTGTTCTGTTGAAGGCACGTGTGCCGGTGAACCGCGTGGCGTACAGCACCGTGATCCATGCCTTTGCGCAGGAAGGGGACGCAAAGTCAGCCGAACACTGGTTTAGTGGCATGATCCAGGATCGAATAACCCCAAACACTGTGACCTTCTGCAGCATGATTAAAGCTGCGGCGAACAACGGAGATGTCGAGAATGCACGATTGTGGCTTGAGTCGCCGCCTTACTTCCGCATGTCATCGCTATCTACCGAGAATCATGTTCAGACCGATTATAATTGAGACCAAGGCGCTTGCTTGCTGCAGAGCTGGATGTACCCCCACTCGCTTTCAACACTGCGATCAATGCCTGTGCAGCAACCGGTGATGTGACAAGTGCAGAGCAGCTCTTGAGTGACATGCGGCGGCATTTCGTGGAAGATACCTTGGACTCTCAGATGCATTCGATCGCTGCTGTCCATGGTCAAAATAGGATTTTGAGAACTAAGTGAGCATTGTGTCGCATGTGGCCTTGCTAAATGTTTTCAGTCGCAGAAGGTCAAAGATAACTCATCGTTCTGATTGTGCGGACAGCCTCAAGGTAACCTACAACAGCCTGGTAAAGGTGAGCGCCTCCACGGGGGATATGGATTCTGCGCAGCGCTGGTTCGACATGCTCCTTGCGCGGCGTCTCCACCCCGACGTGCAGACCTTCAACAGTCTCCTCAGCTGCGGGGCATTTCGCGGAGACGTTCAAGCATGTGAGAAATGGTATCAGCTCTTGGGAGCATGGCGAGTGGCACCGGATACCATCACTTACAGCACGATGCGTACGGCCTGCGCCAGACGTGGTGATTATGCTCAAGCACAGCATTGGTTGAACATGATCGTTCGTCATGATGATAAAGCTCGTGACATGTGGACTACAAGGGGCAAGACGGCGACAGACCCTTTCTCAGAGACCGGCAGCTTGCTGAAAAGGGCATTGTACCGTTTTCGGTCGCAGGGAGATCAAACCATTGCAGAGCGCCTCGAACGGGCTTTGGAGTACCAGTGGCTGTATGGGTATCCGCGCGTCCCGGACTATGAGAAGCAATTAACACATGGAGCATACAAGTACATGGCAGGTATGCAGCCGATGACTGCCCGAGAGATCTACAGTCTGATTCCGGAGAGCAAGACTCTCCTTGACACATTCTGCGGCTCGGGGACAGTTCTAGTCGAGGGCCTCGTGGCGGGAAAGCAAAAGTGCATTGGAAGCGATACATCGCCTCTGGCCATCTTCGTGTCTACGCATCACACAGATGCGCATCGTCTTTCACTGAAGAACTTCGTCGAGGAAGCCGAAAAGGTCGCAGCTGATAAAGGCTTGGGCTGGACGAGCCTGCGTGATCGGATCCGGAGCATGTCGAAGGAGAGTGTGACGCCGGAATTGCGGGATGGGCTTTGGTTTGCCTTTGCCGTGGCTTGGCGTCTGGCGCGGAGTCCGTTTGTGGGTGTCGAGCCCGGCAGCGTCAAGGAATCGGAAGCAGGGGATGCTAGGTCATACTTCCTTTCGACGGTCTATCGCTTTGCGAACCAACTGCGTGAGCTGCGGGATGAACTCTGCGGTCGTGAGCAAGTTGTCGAGCTTCATTGCTGTGACTGTCGAAGGCTGGTTTTGCAGCAAGAGGCGGGCGGACGACTACGAACAAGACCCTTACCTTCTGTTTGCTTTTTGTTTGTGGGCAGGCTCGAGTTGCAGCGTTTTGCCTTGTCCGTGCTACATGCCAAGCATGTCCCGGTCCACAAGGTGGATGCCATCATCACCAGCCCGCCATATCCTGGGGTCTATGACTACTTCAAGGCTGGGCGGACTATGTCTCTGTCTGTTCGACCGTTCGGTTTTCAGATTCCTCTTCTCTCGTTTAGTCACACTGGAGGCTGCAGCTGCCGATTGTCGCGAAGTGGCTGGTGAGGCTACTGGCCAGAGTCACAGAAAACGGCGGGCAAGGTGGGTTGGGCTTCTTGGAGGAATGCATTGGCGCCGTCGGCGCTGGAATCCCTAGATCCGGCGCTGGAGCGACATCGGAGCTCGGTGCTGCTTCCCTGCAGCCCGAGTCTTTGTCGCAGGCCAGGGTGCAGTGGCAGTCGCAGCAGGAGGAGTGGCTCTCAGCAGCATATGGAAACCTGCGCATGGGGGGAACTCTGACAATCATGGTTGGAAACGGCGATGCTTTGGCGGAGAATGCCAACGAAATCGATTGCCTGCATTCCACATTGGAAGCCGCAGCTGCCCTGGGCTTCAAGCTTGCCAGCCCCTTAGTTGTATCATTCAGTTCTTTGAAACTGAAGGCGATGGTTGATTGTTACGCTTGATAGCTCCTTGCATTGCAGGTGGCTTCTTCTACAATCGAGAGTTGTGCAGACGATGCTCACCAGACAAAGGGGATGGTGCGGACAGAGCACATGATTCATTTCCTCAAACCGGCAGAGCCGGCAGTAGGGCAGCCTGTTCAGGCCGAATAGCTGCATGCCTTTGAGAAGGTTGTGCGCAAATTGCTGGACTTAGCCAATGTCCAGCTTAAGCAAAATCTTGCATGCAATCGTCGTGCTGCATGAAGGTGAAGGTCTGTGAAGTTCATCGGCGACACGCATCAGAAGTTTAAAACTATGTGTGGCTCTTGAAGAGACTGCAGTTAGAGGCTCTGCTAGGCTAGAGTCCTCGCGCTGGCAAGCATGTCGACAGCCTTGCGGCTTCCTGCGCAAGCTCAATGGGCTTCGCAACGCCCAGAAGGTGTGCGAGCTTGTGGTCATTGCAGCGAGTTTTTGCAAGTGTCACTGGTAGGAGCCAGTTCGCCCACTTGTCAGTAGTAGACGAATTGGCACCAAGTCTTTGATGTCATCGACATGTGGAAAGGCTTGATTGTCATACTCGCAAGCCCAGACTGTGTCGAGGGAAGCATGTGTTGCACCACAATGTGTCTGTGTGTCTGCCTGCCTGTCTGCCTGCTTGCCTGCTGTATGCGTGCATGCATGCAGGATGGATGGATGGATGTGACAAAGTCTTGCACGGGCTGTCAACAGTTGGAACTGTTACACAAACATAGTTGCTCACTCTGTGGGTGGGCGAAACAAGATAAGGGAGAGCAATTACAGGAATAGCTGCGGTGTTTACTTGCAGATTCCAACCACACTCACGCTTACATGGGGCGGCCAGTCCATTTCCGAGTCAGACAGGACTAGAGTGAGAACGTGAGAGTCAAACTGAGTCTTTCATTTGCAAGCGTCGTCTTTGTAGCCATTTTGGCTGAAGCAGAAATTTGGTATACACGTGCTATCCGATATCCCAATCGTAGGATCAATTCCGCACAGAAGATATGCGTGTCTCCATCCAGCCGGACGGTGAGGAGTCGGCCACTAGCTGTTCCCAGCGGACCTCGAACCTGGAGCATACAGGAAGCAGCCTGAGGAAGTCAACATCGCACCTTTCGCAGGGCACCACCCTCGCTGCTGGCACGGATGATGAGAGCATCAGTGTGGATTCCTCCACGGATCAGTCTTCCGCCGAATCCGATGATTGGGAGCCGGCATGCGAAGAGGAGGAGCTCGAAGTGATCAGCATCTGGACGTGGCAAACCATTGGCTTGCCAGTGAGTGGCTTCCTAATTGCTTTTCTGAATGCCATTGCGTCTGGGGTTGTCTATGGGTTTTTTCTGGGGTACATGGGATTGGATTCTTACGTCATGGCGTCGGTTGCGGCGGTCATGAAACTTCCGGAAGTGTTCTTGTTTCCCTTGGGCATGATCAACGACTGCTTTCCCATCTTCGGCTACAACAGGAAGCCTTACTTGTTGGTATGCTGGTGCATTTGTGGCGGTGCACTCTTGGTGATGAGCCTGCGGCATTTGCCAGCACCCTACTACTGTCAATACCCCGATGGCAGCTATGACTGGTCTTCGCCCCCGTGCAATCCGGACATCCACAGCCACAAAAGCTGGTATATCTTTCCTTTGTTTGTGCTCATCGCGGGTCTGCAGATTGGGAGTACGGCGGGTGAGGGGCTAATCTTGCAGTACTCACGGCGAGAGCCGGCAGCGCGGCGCGGACACATCAAAGCAGAAATGACGATGGTTTGCACGGCCGGTGCGCTGACCTCCTCCCTCGTCATTGGATTCCTCTTGAACGGCAAGGCATACTTGGGCACCTTCGATTGGGGATTGTCCTTCAGTGGCTTGATGGCTGTGTGCTTGGTGATGGTCATCATTGTCATCCCTGTCAGCTGGTTCTGCGTGCATGAGCCCCCAAAGACCACGCACCCAGCACTCCGTGGCCATGCCAAGTCCTCCTGGAGACTTGTCAAGAAGAACGCCCTTTCCAGCATCTTGATTTTTGCATTCGTCGTTCAGTTCCTGGTCGGCACTGTAACTACGGCATCGCCTATGGTCCAAAGTCAGTGGGCTGGAGTCAAAGTCCTGCAGCAACAGCTGTGTGGCACAGGTGGCATGTTCGTCATGATGGTTGCTACCTGGACGTACAAGGAATACTTCCTCCAGACGAGCTGGAGGAAAGCAATCTTCATGGCCATCTTGACAGTGTCAGTCCTGGATGCCATCGCGTCCTTCCTGACGATCTTCGGTGTGGTTCGGAATCAGTACTTCTACCTTGGCGAAGCCATCGTTGGCAATGTGCCTAAGGCTGCACTCGCATTGGTGGGGAACCTAATAATCATTGAGCTCGCGGAACCGGGACGCGAGGGTATGTGCTATGGGTTGATTGCGACACTGCAGCACTCGAGCCTGCCTCTCGCCACGGTCGTCAGTAATCAGATCTACGGCCTCTTTCGCCCTAACTTGTCCGAGTTGGAAAACTACGTGGCAGACACCCCGCAGTTCCGTTCGACTGTAGCTTGGTCTTACGTGCTCTCTTATGCGATGTCGCTCATGAGTCTTTTCCTCCTTCCCCTGATCCCGAAACAGAAGGATGATGCCCAAAGGCGCAAGGAGGAGTGGAGCTCAAGCCCGACTGTGGCTACGTTGGTTTTGGGCATTCCTGCCCTCTGCCTGGTCTACGCTATTACTGTGCTGCTGCTCACCAGTCAGCCGCAGACGGCCTGCATGCATTGGCTTGGCGGTCCAGGCTGCGAAAGTTGATCCTCAAAGCAGAGGTGAGGCTGAAGCCAAGCCCTGCCAAGTCCTGCCAAGTCTGTCGTCTAGGAGCTACTGTTCAACTGTGCATGGGGCCGCAACTTTAAGGCACAGTTTCCCTTTGGGTGGAGCCCAGGGCTACTGGCCGCAAGCGCGGCAGCCAACCGTTCTGAGGGTTCTTTTCGCCTCTCAGGCGGTTGTGTTTCTAACTGGCTCTGGCCTACCAAGAGGGACCAGATGCCCTTAGTGACTTAGTGATCAAACCAATCTGAATTTGTTCCATACCTAGAGGCATCGCTTGACCAAGCGTCGTGGTGCTCTGCCCATTGAGCCACCAAGGTTGTGGCCGGTAGCACTTTGATCAGCCGCACTGCACCAACTGTGCGTGTGCCAAAAATCTGAGCGTGTGTGTTGTGTGGTTACGGTTTTGCTGCTTGCTTCGAGACGGCCCGAATGCTACATGCACACACCTGTCGTCTTTGTTTCGTGGGGGCCAGTCGATAGCCCTGAGGGCTGCGGCCAGTAGAGCCAACAGAGTAAGAAGGCGGCCCTGTAGTCTGAGTTCCTTTCTGTCGGATGTGGGTCCTAGTACTAGCGGTGACTGGCGAGAGTGCACAAGACAAGAGAGTGGATTCAGTGACGAACCAAAGCCACTCACCCAACAAGACGGGACGTGAGCGGGAGGGCCTATGGCCTGAGGGCTGTGAACAGTTACGACCCCTACGCAAAACCGTAAGAAAGAGGAGAGTGAGAGTGCCAGGCCTAAAGGGAGACTAGTCAACCAACAGTAGAGTACTACAGGGGGATATCAGCTGTCGAGGGACCGAGGATAGGCTGTAGAGGGCGCGGTGATGAGGCCGGCATGTGGGCTAAATAAAGTACAGGGTCAGGGTTGGGTCCACGACAGCAGAATAACTACCGCACTTTCCGACCGCTGGGGGCAAGTGCGAGGCCTTGCACAAGCATGCCTGCCCTGTGCCTGCTGCAGAAGAAAAACATACCACTAGAGACGTCAGGGCAAAATCAATCTAAGTAAATTAAAAATAAGCCTCGCCAGGGCATGCCGGACGAGCAGCGCCGCCGGCTGCATCAGCTTCCTTACAGGAATCAATGAGACCGCCCTCGGCTTCACAGTCCTTGCGAGTAGCTGCGGGCCTGTTCGCCGGCAGCACTGTAACACTGTAGCAGCTGTAGCCGTGTCTGGTTTCTAGCCGCGTCATCTGCCGGGCTTTGCAGCTACATATGGGTGCGGAGTGGGAATTCAGAATGGGATATGGTCAGCGATACATCCACAGCTCAGGCTTGCTGGCGCAGCGTTCTTTGCCAGCCACAAGTCTAGGCCTTCGGATCTCGGCGATCTCGTTATGTTGGCTGCGGCTCGCCCCCTGATGCACTGAGTGCTTTGCTTGTCCGTGAGTTAAGCGCGAGGCGGACAGTGCGTGCCGTACTTCCCGACGGAACGAACGAAGAGGGAGAGGCCAGTGAAACGTGTTTGTTTGTTTGCTTGTTCTGAATCTGCTTTACAGTTAGTCATAATGTTGAAAAGTGCGTCGCATAAGTGCCCAAGGATGTTGCACCGATCGACATTAAACTGGAGGATCTGAAGGACGTCGTCCTGCGCCTGGGTCGGGATTCGGCGGGGGCTGCCATCGCGGGATCGGTGTTCTCTTTGGAGGGGCTTGTGGACATGATTACAGGCCACCCAAATAGGTCCGCTTGAGCCGAGCTGTCCGTTTGCCGTGTTTCAATGATGGAGGCTGGGTTCTGCGAGTATCTGCGAATTTCAAGCTTCGATCGCTGTGCTCTCGTGAACCACTCTCGAGTTTCAAGAAACCGTACCTGGTCAATGAAAGATTAGCACTATTAGCACACAAACGGATAAGCGAAGGTATCGCCTAGCTGGCTAGCTCCAATGAACAAATCATAGGGTGTGGACAGCATAAACATAGATGCAGCAAGCACGAGCGCAAATCAATGTGCAATCAAGCAGTTCAATAGGTAAATAAAGAAAAGTCACATATACATGAACAACAATATAACGATTGGATAACCAAGTGCATGGACATACGCAAGCACCTTTCGAAAAACCCGGATATGTTGAGACTGAGTGCCTTCTGTACATTGCCCTTCCGGCTCGCACATCATGACCGCACTTTGTGTATGGATGTCTGCTTGCACTGGCGAAGCCAGCTAGCCCTTTGTAATTAATTGGAGATGACTCCCTTAACGCACACAGTACTTAAACACTGATGGCGTTTCAAAGTCTCAGACTTGCTTGACGCAGTGAAGCCAGGTAGGCCGTTAGGTTCTACCCGACCAAGGTTCCAGTCTGAGTATTCTCCTCCATGTGTGAAGCTCAGGCTGGGGTGCAACATCTACAGAGCAACAATGCTGCCTAGCTGTGTAGAACTGTTCGTCTCAATCAGCACCCTTCAGGACCATGTTCAAGCACTATAGACTGCCTTTCCGCACCATCAATGGGAAACATCCCACCTCGGCAGCTTGGCTTCTGGCATAGATGTGTAGCGGGTAGCGTCACTTTCTCTTGGCATTTTAGTCCCGCGCATCAGGATTACAAGAAGATTCCAGTGCTGGTGATGAACCCAGCCTCGGACGACCGTCCTCGGGCTCAGGGAGCTTGTGCTGACACTTCCGCACGCAAGTGCTAGCAAAGTGACAAGGTCAAATCAATGACTCCCACATCATCATGAAGAGGATGGTGCCGTGGCTGACTGGCAAGGAGATGACCGATGAGGAGGTCATGTGGGAGAAGCGCATCACATACGATGCCTGCCGCAAATAGCCAGCTCTTCCATGAGGTGTCATTGCAGTCTGCAGCACCAACCGACAAACCTTTTGACCTGCAAGGAGTTCCAGCCTGCATTTGAAGTAGAGCTGGTCGGAAACGACCGGGACCTTGCGAGACTTGAATGCAAATTTCGAGAGAGGAGCCGTGTCTTTGCTCTGCAAAGACGAGTTCAATTGCAATTTGATCTGCTTGAGGCTTTTGTGGACGCGAGCCACTGGATACATTGGGGGATGGCAGAGAGGAGCCAGCTTGTCGTCGGCCCTTCAACTCTCAGAGAATGCGGCTGCAGGATTGCTGGGCATATTGTCTCCATTGCTGAAGTTTGCCATCGAAGCTTTGTTCAGATCTCGCTACTCCAACATGGAGCTGCCAAGCAGCTTGCTGCAAACTGCCCTGCTGTTGGACAAGGCCTTCGTTAGTCGATGCGTGCCGATGATCCTGAGGCTCGAAGTTCGGCGCCAGCTTTCGTGCAGCGCTGAAGGATCGACCATTTTTCCATGGGGAAGAGCCAGGCCCCATCGACCTCAGCTTGTACGGACGCTTTCAGGCATCAAGCGACTTGTCTGGGAAGAGTTCAAGCGGCTGAACTTCTTGCCTCGTGCCGAGGAACTTATGTTGCCTTTGCAGAGTGCGGCTCATCTGAATGGTGCCGTCGCGCTTTTGTTGTCCCTGGACCCCTAAACTCTAAACCCTGCGGATCGTCCGAGTGTGAGCGCCGAAACCCTACGGAAGAGGGACGTTAAACAAAACAACCTAAACCCTACAAACCCCTGGTACGACCACCTATCAGTACCGTGGAACCTCGTCTTGCTTGTCCGAGTTGTGAGAGCGTAAACCCAAAACCCTAAACCCGAAAGTATGTGAGAGCGTAAACCCGAAAGTATGTCTGCCTTTTGTTGGGAGGGTCCCACTGTCCCACAGAAAGATGCTCCAGGTAGCACCGCCGCGCGCTTCCTGCAGGGCAGCGGCCTCGAGGAGAGCCCCGGGCACGGGTTCCACTATAATATATTACAATATATTGCAATATATTACAATAGATTACAATATATTACAATAGATTACAATAGATTACAATATATTACACTATATTGTAATATATTGTAATATATTGTAATATATTGTAATATATTGTAATATGTTGTAATCTATTGTAATATATTGTAATATATTGTAATATATTGTAATATATTGTAATATATAATAGTATGTAATAACATTATATGATACGTATAGACATACATTTTTTAAATCATATAATGTAAAACTCCTTCCGAAGACAGCTCCGGAAGAACTGGAAGGCAGACAGCAGACATTGGCAGGAGTGGCATGATCGAATGACAAAGCTTCAGATCGATTCGGTCCAGAGCCTCGCAGAATGACTTTGTTTTTATCATCTTGAATTCCGTGTCGTCTTACTACTGATCTAAGGAAGCCAAAAGTGTATTCCATGGGATAGACTTGGCCAGCAAGACCTTGTGCCACTTTCCCGTTGCCGACATTGCAGACAGCCTGCCAAAGTTGCCGAGCAAGGCCAGGAGACCATGAGAAGCTGCTTGCGGCTGCAGGAAACCTTCAGCAAGCCATCGATTTTCGAGCAGCGCCAACAGTTGCAAACCTTCCAGTTTTCGCGAGCCACCCTGCCAGTGTCAAGAAAAGCACCTGCCGCGCGTTGTCTTGCGCCCATGACATGTGTCATTGACTGCCAGGGCTGAGGATGCAGCTTGCCTTCTCGGCGCTTCCAGAGCTGGCTCTCTTGACTCTTAACCGTCTTAACCAAGACCTCCTTCATCTCCTTGATGTCCGATTCTCTACTCGTAACACGAACTTCTCCATGTGCACTTTTTGCGACATGGCGCCAGCTAGAGGGATGGCAGACTCGGTCGAGACCCGGTAGCCTCCGCCGCCCCCCCGCAAAACACACCGTGCTGGCCATGACGGACCGGATGGTGGACCCGCAAAAGACCGAGCGCCTCCTTGAGTTGCTGAGCAAGCTGGACAGCGGAGACCTCGACCAGGCGAAGAGCTGGAGTTCTTCCCACGATGATGTTTTCTCAGAGGTAGACCTGTAGACTTAGACCCCTCTCCTCACCCCAAAAGATTCCGGGTGGCTTCATGTGCCAGGCCGTGCTTGGCATACAATCCAGATCCCGCGACTTGGAGCCCTGGCTTAAGCTGGAGAAGTAATGCAAGGGGCCTACACAGGCTTTCTAGATCGAGCTTGGCAGACAGAATTCCAGGTTAGAGCATGTAGAGCCTGCTGACTGAATCTCCCGACCTTCCAGAGGGACGGCACCCTACGGTGTCTCTGAGATTTGCGCCGGTTTTGAGAAAGGCGGAGCTTCTGGTTCAACTCATGCCCTGAAGCCCTTCCTGTCACACCGAGTTGTGGGAGCAGCTTCCGGAGAGGACGGGGGCACAGCAGATCACAGTACGTACTCAGTACGTCGAGGAGAGTTCAGGACCTCCTCCGCCTGTGACAGGATTGTGCTTCTACGGCATGGTCAGAGTGAGGGAAACGTGGATCCGATGCTCTACACATCGAAGGGGGACTCCAGACTTGAGCTGACTAAGAGAGGAATTCGCCAGGTGGGCAGCCTGCAAACCAACGGATCGGCCCGACATCAGATTTTCCTCGAAACGCCAGGCAAAAGAAGCGGGAAAGCGCCTGAAGGCGCTCGCCCCCAAAAGCGGGAAGATTATTGTTTGCACCTCGCCCTTCGAGAGGTCGGGGCTCCTGTGCCCTCTGTGGGCAGCCTGGTTCTAGGAATGCTCGCGTTGTTTCGAAGGACGACGCAGACACTCCTCGCCTTGTATGCAGGCGGGTTCACCCAGGCCGTCTCCATCAGAGACTTGCAACTCACGAAGACGTGGGTGCCGAGTGTGCTTCCAGGAGAACGTGGAGTGCGTCCACGTGGACCCTCAGATTCGGGAGCAGGAGTTCGGAAACTTTCAGGATCCGGGCTTGACTTCCAAGGCTGGTCTCGGCAGCCAGAAATGCTTCCTCCATCAAAAAGGCCCCTTTTTTTTCTGTGCTGTCAGGTCCGGGCTGAGGAGCAAAGAGTGGGCAGATTCTACTACAGGCCTTGCTGGGGCTCGACCCTGTTCTAGCAGGTTGTCCATGTCTAAGCCGACTTTGCAGCCTTGCCGTATCCCTCGCACAGGCGCCCCAACGCCGAAAGCTCGGCCGATGTTTTCGACAGGGTCACACAGTTTTGGGACAAGCTGTTCGAGGACAATGGAAAAGGCCTGCTAACAGAGCCCAACACCAAGTATGAGCTCTGCGTAATGGTTACCCATGGCCTGACGATCCGACTGATGCTCATGTGCCTCTTCAAGTGGTCAGTAGAGACATTTGCTTCGGTCTGGAATCTTGGCAACTGTGAGCACGTCACCTTGAAGAAGAATGTCAAAGAGCACAGATACGAGCATCTTGGCTGTGGTGCACAAAAGCCAGCAGTTTTTGGACCAGGATTGCGATCCGGGGGGTTGCCTTTGTTTCGACTCTTGTGTTTCTGTGCCAAGTTGTCACGGAACGGCCTGCTGCTGGCTGCTGGCTGAGGATATGCGTCGAAGAGTCTTATCCACAACGGCTGCCTTGGGCAACACGGGAAGCGTGGATTGTCTTCAACACCAAGATTGCCCCACAGGCACGGGAATTGACAGAAGAAGCCATGTGTATTCGCAGAGTCATGCGATTCCCGTGCTTGCAAAAAGGAGATGCTGGAGCGACTGGCGGCATTGCAGGAAGCCCGCGAAGCTCTGTGCGACGAAGGTGTCCGGGAGGAAGCTCTCAGGCTGGACAAAGCCATGGACTCGCTGGAGAACAAAATCCTCCGGGCACGCGCGGAGCCGTATACGGTCATCGACTACCTGGCAATACCCCAGCCGCGGACAATGCAGACCGAGGAGGTCTTGTCAAGACTGGTACCGGGACACGGCCATGGCCACAAGACACCGGAGGCAGGCCGAGAATTGCCAAGAATTCACCGCAGATCACGCATGCACGTCTGCGGCTGTAGAGTGCCCGTTTGCTGAAGATCATTTTGCCACGGCCGGATCGGTGTCGGATTCGCCTACCGGTGCAGGAAATGCATCGACTGGTGGCAGCACCGGATGAGAGCCAGATCGAGTTCATCGATTGGTGGGGCGACAACTTGAGCACCTTGGGCCGACTTCAGATGTATGCAAGCTGAGTTTGGAAGATGTGTTTCGTGATTTGGGAAGGTGGGCACAGGTGGTGATAGGTGAGGGGCCCGCCTACAAGGCTACCAGGGAAAGATGCTCCGCCAGAACAGAGTGGGCACCATCCACTCCACGCGCTCACTCAGCCAAAGCCGAAATCCCAGCCGGAGCCACACGGAGCCGCCTGATCTGGAAGATCCGGAGGATCCCGAGGATCTCTGAGCTCTCCAATTCGCCTGTCGCCCAAAGACACACGGGATGCCACCGGCACAGTGTTCTGATCAGTTGTACAGCATTTTCAGCAGTTTCAGCTGTGCAGGATGTCCATCCGGAATCGGAGCCGGTTTGAGGCTGTGACATTGCTTGAGGCAATGCCGATGCCCTCGAAATCAGCGCGCAGCTAAAGCACAGGGCTTTGTCGTTTGCAGGAACTTTGGCAATAGCCGCACCCTCAGGCATCGACCCAGACATCACAATGCCCACAAACCAGCATTGAAGCGCTGCAAAATTTTCTGCGAAAACGGTGCCTGAGATAGAGAAGCCGCCAGCTTCAAGGCAAGTTCCGAAGCCGGAAAGTACGCAACATCAGCCTTCAATCTTCGTTGGTCCTGGCAACAACAACACCTTTCCGATGAAGGATCGAATATAGCAAAATCCCCCCAGCAGCAAAAGAACCACCTAGCTCTGCGGAGCTTGCAGGAGTTGTCGTTTACGAATGCATCATCCCTTTTTTAAGCAACAGTTAAGCTCCCGCCTTGTCAGCTCAGTAGGCATCACCCACTGAGGGACCGGGAAATAAGCGTACGACACTTCGCCAGAGAGATGGAACGGAGCAGCAGCGTGCAATCAGAAGCTAGAAGCATAGCCTAGCCGAATTCGCCGTTCGGTCGTATTGCCAACGATCCAAAGATGAAGCAAGCGCTTAGGCTTATATGTCAGGAAGGCCTGCGCCGGTTCGTAAGATGCCATGGCAGGGAAGGAGAGACGTGGAGCCGCTGCCGATGTCGCAGCTGCAGCAGCCAAAGTGCCGCCGCCACCACTCCCATTGCCGCCAAACCTTACAGTGGCACAGCTGCCCAAGCTGCTCCGCCCAACAGGAAGGCGTTTCCAAGCAGCCAGAGGCCGGCAGACTCGGCGTACGACTGTTCGGGGATTCTTTGCACTGCCAATCTGCAACTGATGTTTGTTGATCTTCTGTCAGGTCCCGACCCTGCGGTGCAAACGAACGAGGAAGCAGTCCAAGGAGCATCCGAGACGAACGCGGAGGTGACGCAGCCGGTGACTGAACGTGATGGAAATGGTGCTGCAGGTCCTGCCAGGAGTGTTTCCCGTGGTGTGTGGGGTTTGTGGGCTGTGCTGCTGGTTCTGCAGGGAGCTCGCCTTCCCGAGAACCTGTTGCAGAGTCGCGAAAGGATGTAGGTAGGAGTCTTGTGAGCCGCCTGAGACTTGGGAGGTGGAGCGAGTGGCCTTGATCTTGTCAGGTCCAGCGTCGGCATGCGGACCCCAGCATTCCCCAGAAGCACCTGGGAGTTCACCCTCCACTTTGAACCGGGAGGCCTCTTGGGAATTGTTGAAGGCTTTCTTCCGATGGCATCTTTCCCTGTCTTCTGAAAGGAAGACGAGCATTTCGTGCGGGACCCGCTGCATCCCGAAACCATTCAAGTCGCCTCTGGCGACGCTGCAGCTCTTGCAGCTCAGGTGTGCCCGAGTGAAATGGTATAAACAAAAATCCGACTCTGTTCGGGACACTCAAGGCCGCGCCAGAAATCCACCTTGCTGATCAAGCTGGGCTGGGCACGACAGATGTGGAGCCTCCGAGAGAGGCTTCTCGGAGTGACGCAGTAGGACACATGTCAGGCGTTCAGCGATTGACTGCTGCCCCTTCGAATCATGCGGACTCGCGCGTCAGTTGACAGGTGACGCCTGACTTCCAGCTCGCCGCCTTCTGTCTGACATCAAGACGGGTGTTTCGAAAGTCTTGTGAGCTTGCCGCTGCAAATTTGTTACCTGCAAGCTGAGGAAGCGGTTTCGCACATTCTCAGCGATGTAGGTGCACTCTCGACGGAGTGTAGCAGGCACCAGTGAGACTCAGACACTACGTCCGGGAGCTGGGGATTGCCGTGTTTGCCCTGCTTTTGATCTCTGTTAGGATGTTCAAAGACAGCTGTACACCAGGACCGCCTGTACCAGTGCAGCTCGTCTTCTCACAAGACACCTTGCGCTCCATGGGGTGTGTGCTGAAGTGTGCAGGAGAGGCAGAGCTTCTGGATGCCGAGCAGTTGCACAAGCTTACGTCGGGAGCCATGTTTGCGTTTCCATGGCCTTGCATGCCAGTCACAGCGGCAAAGGCAGATGCTCATTGACCGGTTTGGGTGTACTTCACCTGCTACTCTGGATCGAATTGGTCACGTCTACGTTGCCACTCGCTAGCAGCCACGGCTGACATGGCGCCTGCGCGGAGATTGTATGCACCGGTCGTCTGAGGCGGCCACCTCCGGCAGACTGGAGCAAGGACACCACGCTAGTAGCCGCTAGTACTTGTCCTGCGATCACAGGAATGTGCTGCGATGCTTTTGTTGCAGCTGCTTTTCTCGGGTTGCGCAGTTGCTTCTGAATCGCAGGCTTGGCTGAGCTCGAGTTCCGCGGGTACGTCGCGGCTGTCCGGGCCTCGGGCGAAGCCTCTCCTGAAGCCGGAACTAGAACCCGGGCAGCTCTGACACCTCGCCTGGCTGAGTTCGAGTTGCGAGAGCGTAATCCACGCTACTTTTGGGATCGGCCAGCGGTTTCTGCTTTCTGTGCCACCAGTCGTAATGAAGCCCTGCCTGCGAGAGTAGAAGCCCACGACACACACCTGAAACGATCCAAAAGGGAGCTTTGAGTGCAGACAGAGAGAGAGAGTGCAGGTGTTGACCCAAATACTCCAAGACCTGGAGCGAAGATCATCCACGGAGGCGGACCGTGTCTGGCGGTATCACAGCATGGGCCGTGGGTTTGGATGGATGAATCAATGAATGAACGAATGAACCACTGACTGACTGACTGAATGAATGAATGAATGAATGAATGAATGAGGGAATGAAGGACTGAATTGAAGGAGTGGGTCGGATGAATGAATGAAAATAGTTAATTTAATGAAGCAGCGCATGCATACAACTGCCTAGGGGTTCAACGGCAGGACACAGCATCGGATGGTGCTGGCGGTGATGCTGAGCCAGACAGCTCCGAGCCTAGTTTCGACCTGGCTGTGTCTTCCACCTTTGGACTCACGAAGCTGTGCCGACGACTATGGCTGCAGGTGGCGGCATGATGGAATCACTCCAAGGCTTGCATGCTGTGTCTTTGCCGAGCTCTAGTCCTCTGCGGCCCTTCAGATGGATGAGACATGAGTCTTGCATGCGTGCGCCGCGAGAACAGGAGTCCGATTCGTCCTCGAGTTGAAACTGGTCTCGAGAGATTCTCCCCCCTTCTGCACGGGATCCTCCCCTGTGCCGCTAGGGATCCTTCGGCGCACCCATGCTCGCGTCGCGCTGCGAACGCTTCTCCAGCGGTTTGTGCTGTGATGCGAAAGAGCGAATTGTGGCTCAGCGTCTAACCCTCGAGACTCCGAGATCCTGGACCTCGTGCTGTGCATTCGAGGAACATGCAGAAGGAAAGATGCGGTTTTTCTGATTTCCTAGCGCATCATCGGTTGATGGCTGTTGTATGCAGGCTGGCTGGAGCAGCTGACGTCGTCATTTGCGTAGCCTAGGCTGCTCCTTTCGCCACCCTTGAACGTCTCAGACCCATGGAAAGGGTAGCAGCGCAGCCTTGTCAGGTGAAGTCTCCCGAGGGCTGCGAGCTCGAGGCGAGCCCCGTCGTGGTTTGCTTTGCCCACAGCGTCTTCGGTGTTTCGTTGAACCGCGGAGAGACGGATCGGCGACGCCCCCCTGCTCTCGAAAAGCCGAAAACATATGCAATGCTGCAATGCACATTGTCGTTGAGAGCTGGTACAGGCAGGTAGACACGAAGACCGTCACGAAGAGTCTGTGCGGTGGCAGTTATGACCGAGAGTTTCTGCACTGCGATTGCCACGACGCGATTCGGCTTGGACCGCTTTAGCTGGCTTGAAGTAGAGCTGGCCGCCTTCCTGTGTTCTGGAGCTGCTGCCTCAGTTTCAGCGAGGATACTTCCGACGTGAATGCAACCTGAAGGATATAGCGTGAATCTCTCTCTCTCTCTCTCTCTCTCTGTAAATAAATAAATAAACAAACAAATAGAGTCACGACAAGCATAGGATCTTGAAGCGCAATGCGCAGCATGAAGACAAGATCTGCGCACGTCTACATTGTGAGTAGCACAAGCTGGAAAGGTATCCAGGCAAGGGCTGTATATCACTGCTACTCGTAATCGTGTTCCGAGTATTTGTAGAAGAGGAAGAAAAGCAGAAGTGGCAGTAGTGGCAGTAGCACTAGCTGTAGGAGTAAGGGTCGTGGTAGCAGTACTTGTAGTGGCAGTGGCAGCAGCAGCAGCATCGGTAGCCGTAGCAGTAGGAGCAGCAGGGTGGCCGGAGTCGCAGGAGTAGTAGGAGAAGGACTAGGTGCAGGAGTAAGAGAAGCAGCAGGGGCAGAGCAGGTGTAGGAGTGGGAGTGGGAGTAGGGGTAGTGGCAGTAGTAGGAGTAGCAGTAGCAATAGCAACAGCAGTAGCAGTAATACAGAGGTCGCTCGTGAGCGCAGTTGTAGTCGCCGTCGTCGTCGGCGTAGAAGCAGCAGCAGCATCGGCAGTGAAGTGGCAGTGGCAGTGGTAGCGGTCGTCGTTGTTGTAGGAGCACAGCACGAGCAGGAGCAGCAGCAGGAGGAGTGGCAGTGGAGGGTGGTGGCAGCAGCAGTAGCACCGCCACCACGACGAAGACGAGGAGGACGACGACTACTACTACGATTGATAATTCCTAGTTCATGTATGATCACGTCTGGAGGTTTGAGCCTAGTTTGGTCATAAGGAAATGCCAACCAACAAGGAACCCACCTTATGGTCTGGCTGCTGCCGTTTCCAGGCATGGCGGGTAAGGCCATCGCTGGCGGGCTGTGCGACGCTGCTGCTGCGATATCGCCGTACGAGGCCTTCGCAAGCAGGTGCAAAGGTTGTGGCCTGCGCCTCGCATTTTCGCAGGATGTCAGAGGTTACTTGCAGCAGACGGTGCCCCTTGCCTGAGAGCGAAGCTTGCCTTGTTGCATGCTGCTCAGTGCTGGTCTAGCAACGCGATGGTTGAGGCTTCCTGCCCTCGGGCCGGCCATAGAAGACCTCTTGCACCTGGGCCTTGTTACTTGCGTTCGCAGTAGTGATAGGATTCCTTCGGATTAGCAGACGACTACTGCGGAGCTGCGGCGTGCAAGACGAGAAGTTGGTTGAACCATTGTCTCAGGCACCAAGTTCACTCCTCTGGCGAGCTGCAGCGCGTGCTGCGCAAGGAGAAAAAAGTCGAGTATTGAGTCGCTCTGCAGTTGTGGGTATGCCTCAACCTGAAAAACAATTGGCTTCACCGGTTTTGGGTGGAGCGAATGCACCATGCTTCAACAAGGGAGCTCACAAGGGAGCTCAGTCAGCCAGAGCCGAGGACTTCTGGAGAAGCGGCGTTTTAAAAAGGGCAGCAAACGCTGAGTCGGGCAACAAGTCGTACTCCTCCTTTCAGATGAGATGCTCTCCGGAAAAAGCGAAAGGGCAAGAGGACTGAACATGGGAAGCGCGCGATCCCTGCAAAGAGCGGCGAATCAATTTCTGAAAAACAAGCTGCATGTCTATCTTTAGGCGAAGGGTTTGACTTGCAGATGGACCAGCGAAGCTGCACTTCGATCCGAAACTCGACAGCGTGAGCTCGAAGACTTGTCACCGCACAAGGGCAGCTTTCCCTCTCTGCCCAGTCTTGCTGGCTGGTCAGCCGGCCCACCTACTGCTTGGGCTTGGACAGCCTCACCAAATCTTTCACCAGCAAGACTGACGAAATCAACCAAGAGAGAGCTGCGGGAAGCATTTAACGCGCCTACGCTTTATCACCTCACATTGCCTTCGCGAGTTCGAAGTTGCAAGGAGCACAAGGAGGCGATGAGTCACAGCTTTCCCGCAGTTTGGGTGTGCAAAATACACCAAAATCGGCGAGACCCAGAGTCGCCCCATTGTCGTTTATGCAAGTTCCTGACTTTCCTGCTCTCACTAGGCTCCTTTTGCTGACTTGCGATCGAAGGTCCATTGTACATAATTAGATAAGCTTCCTGGAAAATGGGAGGATTCAATCTTTGTCCCTGTTCTTGTCCGCTTGTCGGTCAGCCTGGCACGGACTGAAGGTGGGAATTTGACGGACAAAGATTGGCAGCCACAACGAAGCACTCCCTTTGCAAACCCTCGGAGCCTTCTTAAATCATAGCTCTGAAGCTGGAGCCGATGTGCAGGAGACAGAGGCCGAACGGAAGGTCGTTCGAAAGCCGTCCGAAATACAAGCGGAGGTGCCGCGGTGATTGAAACAGGGTCTATGCCTCTATGCAGGGTCCGTGCCTCCACCCTCGAGGACCCTCCGGAAAAGAAGCAGAGCTCATCGGGAAGCAGGCCCGGCTGCACTGCTACTTCGGGCAGCTCCATCTTGCTGCACCCATTGCCGCAAGGAAGCCTTCGCTGACGGCGGGCCTTTCAGCCGCACAAAAGCTTTTTGCCGTTGTCCGGCATGTGACATCTGTAGGTTTTGATCATTTTGATCAATTGAAGACTTGCACTGCGCCAGTACTGCACCAAAATCGCTTCGACGAGAGGATGCAGTCAGTATCAGCAGCAATCAGAAGGCCTCCGCGACCCACAGAAGCTTTTCTTCAGCACACTTCATTCCTCGTCCAAGCTGGTGCGCTCGCTCCACCGGCAAACCAATGCATATTCATCATGGTTCCCATTGCCAGGCAGGAATCGGGATGTGGAGTTGCAAGCGCGAGTGAGCGCAAGAAGCACACGAGCGAAACCAGTTCAATGCTGACACTGGGCAATGTACGGTCGTCACAGCACAAGGAGAGGGAAGCCAAATTGTTCGTCGCTTCAGCAACGCCTCCGAGCTTGACAAGGCTCGGGCACAGCTTCGATTCTACTGCTCCGCATGTACACACATACACATATGCACTTAACGTTGTACATGTACATATACACACACACATACATACATACATACATACATACATACGTACGTACGTACATACATACATGCATACATACGTGCATACACCAAAACAAACACACAAACACACACACACACTTGATAACAGAA